TAGAGCATCAGCCTGCGGATTCAAGGGTCCCAGGTTCGATTCCAGTCAAGGGCATGTGCCTTGGTTGCGGGCACATCCCCAGTTGGGGTGTGCAGGAGGCAGCTGATCGATGTTTCTCTCTCATCGATGTTTCTAACTCTATCCCTCTCCCTTCCTCTCTGTAAAAAAAATCAATAAAATATATATTTTTAAAAAAAAAGAGTTTGGTGTACATATTAGATGCTCAGTAAGTTTTAGTTGCCATCTTCCATTTTGTTTGCTCACTAACACGATTTTTTCCAGGAGATCTAGCCTTTCTATGAAATTGTAGACATGCTTCTCAAAAGTAGCATGTTTTTTGGTTTGTTTTCTCACTAGGGCCCAGAGTCCCTGTTGAGAAAAAAATACACAGAAAGATCATAGGTAAGGCACTTTGTAAAGTGCTTTAGATATAGTATCTCTTCACAAGATGGGGCTGAAATTCAAACCCAGGTCTGTGGAACCCCAGACCTTGAATTGTTTCCTCTGTGCTCTGCTGCTGGATGTGACAAGTACAGTTTGGGCATGTTGAGTCTCAGATACCTGTAGGACACACCTGTGGCGATGAACAGAGGGAATTGAATATACAGAACTGGGGTGGGAAAAATGAGTACTTAAGTTGATAGGTGAAGACGTGAGAAGATTGAGGACAGAATCTCGAGGTATACCAACATTGATGGGAGGCTGAGGAAAGGCCCATAAATGGAACACTCATCCAGATGCTGCTTCCTCTTTTCCCTGTGTTTTCGGTCCCCACATCCAGCCAGCAACTGTAGAGCCCTCCTTTGAGAAGAGAAGACTGAACCCCAGTGTGAAAGAACGGAAGTTCCAATAAAACCTGACCCCCGATGCTACCCTCTTCCACATCTCCTCATGCATTCACAGCTTCTCTCTCTTACCTTTAGAACCTCTCCCAATGTAACATGAGGGTTTCTGAGTGCTGCCAGGTCCAGTGAGGCAATTCCTGACACCCTCAGAGCCTATTAATACAGGGCTAGGCTGGAAAGCTATTGCCTCAGGCAGAAGAGGAGGAAGTCAAGAACTGGAAGAGGATGACATCCGGTCCTAGAGAAAAACTGTCTTCTGCTGGCGCCCCTCCGCTTACTTCTTTGTAGCTCTTGTTCTTTGCAGATCTTTGTTAGGTCTTCCTACCTCCATGATATCCCCCCACTACACTCCCAAGCCTCAGGCCTTTTGGTTTTCAGTTTCACCAACAAAAGAAAGAGAGAAACAAGCATCAAGTTTCTTCTTCCTTTTACCCTTATGCATGGATTTTGTTCAAGCTCTCAGCCCAATTGTAATTTCAGAGCCCTCCCCTGTGTGCTGGGAAATCTTAGCGAGGCCACCAGGTCATTTGTTTGGGGATCAAGCCCAGGAAATCAGCCACAGACTCTGATGTTAAATGGAAAGATAGTTCCTCCTGTGGACTCCAGACATACTTGCCTGATCCCTGGAAAGTTTGGTATCAGAGAATTGCTCTCAGCAATCCTTGGTTTGCTTCCCAGATGGACCGTTTTTGTTTTAGCAGAAAGAAGTGCTGGTCTCCAGACTGCTCCCCGGAACCCGTAGTGGTGGGAGCTGCTCCCCGCCGGGCCCCGTGGGGGCGGACCCCGTCCAGCAGCTGCGGGGGGCCGGAGCGGCTGGGGTGAACTCCGGCCGGAAGCCCGGGGTTCGTGGTCATGGCTCTGTCCGCCCGCGTCCTGCTCCGCGGTCGCCTGGGCCAAATGGGGGCGCTGGGAGCGGCCGGGCTCTCGTTCGGGGCCTTTCGGAGCAGTGGCAGAAGGGCCAGCACAGAGAAGAGATTCCATCTTCCAGAGGTCGCCAATCTCTTGTTCCCCTCCTCAGTCCCCATCCTTAGTCATCATTTTCTTAATGTATAGTGACACATTAGTTACCTAGGTCTTCATAGTGACTGTGGTCTAAATCTGACTTCATTCCCATTGACTTAAAATTTGAACCTTAGTGTTGTTCTTAATGAAAATTGTCTTTGAGTGTGATAAACTTTCCACTGAGATATTTACCGTTTGAAGTTAACAGATTTTAGTGTCAATTTCTGAGTTATATAGAGCCTTAAATGAAAGATGAAATTTTTTTTAATGTTTTTGAATAATTAGATACCTTCAATAATGGATATGTTAATATGGCTTTAGTGGAGGGTTTTTTTAAATTTTTGGTATATATTTTATTTATCTTAAGGCATTTTTTAAAAAAACATATTTTATTGATTTTTTACAGAGAGGAAGGGAGAGAGATAGAGAGCTAGAAACATCAATGAGAGAGAAACATCGACCAGCTGCCTCTTGCACACTCCTACCGGGGATGTGCCCGCAACCAACGTACATGCCTCTGACCGGAATCAAACCTGGGACCCTTCAGTCCACAGACCAACGCTCTACCACTGAGCCAAACCGGTTTCGGCTATCTTAAGGCATTTTCTAATAAGACTCCCTGATTCTTTATTCAACTATGTTGAGTATACTGATGAACCTATAAAAGGAATTATTTATTGCTGTTAAAAAAAAAAATAGTGGTCTCCAAAACTGGTTGTGCTAGACGGTCTGTAAAATTCTTCCCGAGGCAGAAGTATTAGGAAAGACAATTTTGGTGTGTAGGTTGTACACACAACTTCCCTTATTACCTGCTTTACCGTAATCTTTTTTAAAAACAAATGTTTTTATTGCTCATGCTGGTTTGGCTCAGTGGATAGAGCGTCAGCCTGTGGACTAAAGGGTCCTAGGTTTGATTCTGGTCAAGGGTACATGCCGGGGTTGTGGGCTCAATCCCCAGTAGGGGATGTGCAGAAGGCAGCCAATCAATGATTCTCTCTCATTGATGTTTCTATCTCTCTCCCCTTTTCCTTCCTCTCTGAAATCAATAAAAATATAGTTTAAAATGACCATTTAAGTTGACACATTTCAATTTAAAATATTGTAAACAAGAATCTTAAAAGTTAATTGATATAAGCTTATACAAAGAAGAAATTTTACACTTATAGAGAAGTGCTTATATTTTAATTTTTTTATTGCTTTTTTAAATTTTTTATTGATATCAGAGAGGAAGGGAGAAAGAGAGAGAGATAGAAACATCAATGATGAGAGAATAATCGATTTGCTGCCTCCTGCACGACCCCTACCAGCCTGCAACCTGGGCATGTGCCCTGAACAAAAATTGAACTAGGGAACTCTTGGTTCATGGGTTAACACTTAACCTCCAAGCCACACCAGCTGGGCAATGATAATATTCTTTTTTTTTTTTTTTTAATATATTTTATTGATTTTTTACAGAGAGGAAGGGAGAGAGATACAGAGTTAGAAACATCGATGAGAGAGAGTCATCGATCAGCTGCCTCTTGCACACCCCCTACTGAGGATATGCCTGCAATCAAGGTACATGCCCTTGACTGGAATCGAACTCAGGACCCTTCAGTCCCCAAGCCGATGCTCTATCCATTGAGCCAAACCGGTCCCGGCCAATGATAATATTCTTGATTTCTTTTCAGAACTTGGAAACAAAGGTTATATTTAAAAGGTATTGCTGACAATGAAATCAATCCTGAGAGAGTGATACTTGTAGTACTGATGAGATCAAATGAAAAGCTTTCTACCTTACTTACTTTGGGAGTGAGCATTCTTTCTCCTTCCCCTTTCACTTGGATAACTCCTGTTCATTATGACTTGACTCAGCACCTCCAAGAAGCCATCCTAGCCAGCGTACTCTTTTTTTTTTTTTATAGCACTTGTGCAGATTTTGGTCATATTTTGGATATAATGCACCCATATCGTCTGCCCTCCCCCCTCTACCAGACCATAAGCTTCTAGAGGGCAGGGACTCTTATTTGAATATCTGAGTCTAGCACAAGGCCCAGAATATTCATCAGTTGCTGACTGAATGAGTATTCATCCTAGAGCCATGTGGAAACTTCTAATTTTCATAGCTCTCAAAAGGGTTTGCTCCAATCACCCACCTGCTTTTATTCAGTTGGAAATTTTAAAGAAAATATATTTTATTAACTTTTTATAGAGAAGAAGGGAGAGGGATAGAGACGTAGAAACATCAATCAACTGCCCTTTGCACACCTCTCACTGTCTCCATGACTGGAATCGAACCCAGGACCCTTCAGTCCACAGGCCAATGCTCTATCCTCGGGTTAGGACTGGAAATTTTCTTGCATTTGAAATTTCTTGCTGTTGGCTACACTGAATTACATAGTAATTCACCTTACTGGAAAGACTTCCCCTTGACTCCAGGGAAAATCCCAACTCATTGTTAAAAGCCAATGTCAATATTCCTGGTTCTTGCTCTATAGGAGTTACTTGCTATCTGCAGCACATTGTATGTATGTTGTCTACTGTCAACACATATATTTTATAGGTCTATGTTTACCTGCTTTTTTTCATTAGTTCTTGGATCCTTGGTTCTACAGCTTAGCTGTGATTTGGGGCAAATAGCTTGATCTCTCTATGCCTGTTTCTTCGTCTACGAAATATTATACTTGTGAGTGCCCACTCAGGCCTAGCAGCATGGTGTATCAGACCTCTAAGAGGAACTCAGAGAGTCTCTGTAATTCTGATAAACTCCTGGGAATGTTCATTTCAACCTCAGAGAAGTAACCCTTTCCTGAGCCTATTCTGTCGCTCTGTCTCACATTGACTCCTAATGGTCTTTGCCTGTCTTACTGGCTTGGGATCTTATGTAGTCAAGACTAGGCACTTCTGGGGAGGCACCCTGCCTTTGTTTTTAGGTATTAGAGCTCTTTAACACAGACCTTTAGCCGGGGAAAGGAAGGGCAGCCAGGCTGGTGGTCTGGTTAATGTTTGTCCAGGAGCTACTGACTTTGGTTGCTTCTGGGCATATGCACACAACCACAAGTTTGTTCTCATCACCTCTGTGCCTTCTTTGTCACCCATGATTGACTGGAGTCTTGAAACCCAAGCAGCACTGATCCCCACAGCATTCTCTTCCCATTTCTGTTTCAGGAGGCAATGGCAGCTTCCTGTCTCCTGCACACTGGGCAGAAGATGCCCCTGATTGGACTGGGCACCTGGAAGAGCAATCCTGGCCAGGTGAGGGATGGGGCAAGGGGAGAAGGGCTTCTTATACCGCTGCTAGGGAAAAGGCAGTATTTGGGAGAGAGTCCTGCATTTTCCCTAGCAGCCCCATCCCTGTACTCCACTTACGGTGGGATGAGGCTGGAGGGCAGTGGGAAAAACAAGTGAACAAGGGCCTGGTAACATGTCCTTAGCCTACGCAGCTGACTCAGAGGAGGGGCTGAGAAGGTCAGCAGGGCAAAGATCATAGGAAAGAACCCTTTCCCTAACTGGATCGACACTGAATCCTTTGAAAGATGTGGGACCCCTCTGTATCTAACCCATTGCTGACCCCTAATATGTCACCACCCTGTGCAGTGATCTGATCATCACTGGGCTCGTTGAGAGTTGGACCTGTCTCATTCCAGAGATAGTCACATAGAAGGTATCAGTCAGAGTTTAAAGAATAACTAGATCAAGACCAAGGATTAACAAACTGTTTTTGTTAATCCTCACCTGAGGATATATATATTTTTAAAATATATTTTTATTGATTTTAGAGAGGGAGAGAGCTAGAAACATCAGTGATGAGAGAGAATATACCAATCGGCTGCCTCCTGCATGCCCATACACTAAGGATTGAACCCACAACCTGGGCATGTGCTTTTGGCCGGAATTGAACCTGGGACCTTTCAGTCTTCAGGCTGACGTTCTATCCACTGAAACAAACCTGCTAGGGATATTTTTCCATTGATTTTCAGAGAGAAGGTGGGAGGGGAAGACATAGAGAAAAACATCAATGTGAGAGAGACACATCAATTGGTTTCCTCCTACATGCAACCCGACCAAGGCTGGGGAGCTAAACTGGCTAGGGTGCAAACTTTTTCTTTAAAAAAGAAAAATATATAGCCGATACTGGTTTGGCTCAGTGGATAGAGCGTCGGTCTGCAGACTGAGGGGTTCCGGGTTTGATTCTGGTTAAGGGCATGTACCTTGGTTGTGGGCACATCCCAAGTAGGGGGTGTGCAAGAGGCAGCTGATCATAATTCTCTCTCATTGATGTTTCTAACTCTATCCCTCTCTCTCCCTCTCTGTAAAAAATCAATAAAATATATATTTTAAAAATATTTATTTATTTATTTATTTATTACTGATTTCAGAGAGTCAGGTGGTTAACAATTTAGATTTTGCTGGACAGATCGCAAAATGGAGGTGATTATGTACTTATGTGACCATTTAAAAATATAAAAACAGTTCATAGCTCAGGGCTGAAAAAAAACAAAAGGCAGCTATGAGCTGGAGTTTATTGATCCCTGATGTAAACCCTTCCAGCCTGGGGGTCCCGGGAATGGAAACCCGCTTTCCTAGGATCGAAAGCTAGAAATTCAGCACCCACCTAGTGTTGGGCTTCTCCCCAGTGCTATGCCATTGTTCCTTGGGCATCTGAATCAGAGTTTGGAGAAGTTTGGGGATTAAGTTTGGGAGGGGCTCAGGTAGCGAGAACAGCCTCTTCTCTGTAGGATTTTGGCTAGTGTTTGTGGTGTGGTTGGATGACTCTGCCTTTTACCCCTTTGATTTCCTTCCTACAGCTGCCTAGGACTGCGGAGCTGGGGTCTTTGTGCTCCAGGCAGACACTGACATGGCAGGATAAGTCCAGCAGCTAGATGAAGGCAAGGGGTGGAAGTCAGAGACGGGGCCAACAAGGAGGTGGGCAGAATGAAGCAGCAGGGGTAGGGACAGGGGCTGGGGAATATGTCTGGGTAGTAAGAGCTGCACCCAGATGGGGATCTGAATGCCAAGGGCGTGGCATCTGGTTCTGCCTCTGATGCCATTTTTCTAGTCAAGTTTTTAGCAAGCCGAAACAGGTTTGGCTCAGTGGATAGGGCTTCTGCCTGTGGACTGGAAGGTCCCTGGTTCGATTCCGGTCAAGGGCATGTACCTTGGTTGCGGGCACATCCCTGGTGGGGGGTGTGCAGGAGGCACCTGGTTGATGTCTTTCTCATCAATGTTTCTGGCTCTCTATCCCTCTCCCTTCTTCTCTGTAAGAAATCAATAAAATATATATTTTTAAAAAAGTTTTTAGCAAATTAACTGGACCTGGCCTCCTACTTGATATCTGCTTTTTTCTCTTCTAAAAGGAGGGGCTGGGCCTAGCTTCCATCTCACGTCTTTATTTCCTTAATTTTCTTCCCCCTCACCTTTTTTGCTTGCCTGATTCCCCCAGAATATGCTTGATTATATGGTTCCCTGAGGGTCTCTCTCACAATGGCCTTGGCCAAGGCATATTTACCTGTGAATCGTGTTTCCCTAACCAGCTCCTCCAGGTAGGGAACCTGGCTCCATAACCTATACTTTTTTTAAAATTAATTTTTTACAGAGAGGAAGGGAGGAAGATAAAGAGTTAGAAACATCGATGAGAGAGAAACACTGATCAGCTGCCTCCTACATACCCCCCACTGGGAATGTGCCTGCAACCAAGGCACATGCCCTTGACCGGAATTGAACCTGGGACCCCCCACCAGCCCGCAGACCAACGCTCTATCCACTGAGCCAAACCGGCTTCCACATGACCTATACTTCTGCCCTCGGTCAATGTATTCGTCTTCTGAGCTTATAGCTAGGAACATGTTGTTAGTTTTCTGCTGGGCACTGCTAAGATTGTTGGGTAGGAAGGAGCCTTGGAGGTTAGAGGGATGGGGACAAAGGGATTGTGGCTTCTGGTCCCTTCCCCTAGACTAGAACCATCTTCCATCGTCTCTCCCCCACTGCATGGATGACTGCAGTGGTATGTTCCTGCCTCCTCCCGCCACCAGTGACCCTCCGAAGGGCAGCTTCTGGCCCAGACCAACAGAGCTGAATCCCTCTGCTTCTGTCACCTGGCAGGTAAAAGCAGCTGTGAAGCATGCCCTGAGTGTGGGCTACCGCCACATTGATTGTGCTGCCATCTACGGCAACGAGACTGAAATCGGGGAAGCCTTGAAGGAGACTGTGGGGCCCGGCAAGGTGAGGACTGGGGCTGCCTAGGGATGGGATGAGAGATCTAAGAGGCAGGGGGGTAGGGGAGGATTGGGCCTGGCTGGAGGGGTCTGGCATCAGCTCCCTTCTAATTCCTCTCCCAGAGGCGAGGGTGGGTAAGACTGGGTGCCCATTGGCTCTTCTCATTATGGGCCCTGCCCCCTGCGCCAGGCGCTATCCCGGGAGGAGCTGTTTGTGACTTCCAAGCTGTGGAACACTAAGCACCACCCCGAGGATGTGGAGCCTGCCCTCCGGAAGACACTGGCCGACCTCCAGCTGGAGTATTTGGACCTGTACCTGATACACTGGCCTTATGCCTTTGAGTGAGCTTTTCCAGTGTCTTTATCCAGGGAATTAGAGGGTGGGGGAGTCAGTCATGTTAGTAACTTACCGTAAATCACAGGAGTGGAGCAGGATAGGAACACTGTCTGTGTGGATAGCTGAGGAACTTGGCATGGGAACTCGGCCCTTTCTGTTATAGCAGCCAGGAGCGTAGCTACAGGAAAAGAAGTGCAGCTTCACGTGGGTTCTATCTTAGGGTGTGCACGTAGTGGTTCTACTGCTCCTGTATTCGTTCCGGTAAGCTACTAGCTTCTGCTGAACCAGGCCCAGGTTGAAGTAAATAATAAGTTCTAGCAGAAACTGGTTTGACTCATTGGATAGGGCTTCTGCTTGCGGACTGAAAGGTCCCAGGTTCGATTCCAGTCAAGGGTATGTACCTTGATTGCGGGCACATCCCCAATAGGGGTGTGCAGGAGGCAGCTGACAAATGTTTCTCTCTCATCAATGTTTCTAGATCTCGGTCCCTCTTTCTTCCTCTCTAAAAAATCAATTAAATATATTTAAAATAATAATAATAAGTTCTAGCCGAGGGTGTGAGAGGAGCCTACCTCTACTCTGTGCCCTGTTCCAGAAGAAGGCTGCAAGAGCATGTAACTCTTTGAGGAGGAAGGCAATAAGGAGGGAAGCCTTCCCAGAGAAGAGGAGGTATAATCTACCCCTGGGAAGAAGAAGAGGGGAAAAGGCCATTCCATATAGTAAACACCTGGGTCACGATCTGGAAGGGTGTAAAGCCATGCTTGTTTCTCAGTCTTGGACCTTTCCCCTTTCTGGGCTTGGAGTATAGGACACAGAGTGGCTGAGTGGGCAGGTAAGGCGGAAGCCTGGCATTTGTGCCCACTCTTGAGAGGCTGTCTTTCACTCAGGCGAGGAGATGACCCTTTCCCTAAGAATGCTGATGGGACTGTCCGCTATGACTTCATTGACTACAAGGAGACCTGGAAGGCTCTGGAGGCACTGGTGGCTAAGGGGCTGGTGCGGGCGCTGGGCCTGTCCAACTTCAGCAGTCGGCAGATTGATGATGTTCTCAGTGTGGCCTCTGTGCGCCCAGCTGTCCTGCAGGTGAGCACAGTATAGCAGGTCAGTTGTTTGGGGGTGAGGTGTATGTACAAGAGCATGAGTGAGCAGATGATGGTTCTACTTCATGGAGATGGCTAGCAAGTTGTCAGAAATGTTGGTGTAGACTTCCTCTACATAAAGAAGGACACTGAAGTGTGGGACAAGAATGAAATGGACAGTGGGAAACAGTGTTAAGAGGATTGAAGGGCCCAGTGTGTGTGGCTCGGTTGTTGAACATCGACCTATGAACCAGGAGGTCACGGTTCACTTCCTGGTCAGGGCACATGCCCACGTTATGGGCTCCATCCACAGTATGGGGCGTGCAGGAGGCAGCCGTTCCATGATTCTCATCATGAATGTTTCTCTCCCCCACCTTCCTCTCTCTAAAATCGATAAAAACATATGTATATTAAGAAAAATAAAAAGTTCTGAAGGGAAGTAGGGTGGGGTCAGCAGGTTGGTCCGGATGGCACAGCTAGGCAAGCTGGATGTCGCCACCCCATGGTGATGGGTTATTTCTTGGCTCAGGTGGAATGCCACCCATACCTGGCTCAGCACGAGCTGATTGCTCACTGCCAAGCACGCGGCCTGGAGGTCACTGCTTACAGCCCTCTGGGCTCCTCTGATCGTGCGTGGCGTGATCCTAAGGAGCCTGTCCTGCTTGAGGATCCAGTGGTCCTGGCACTGGCTAAAAAGTATGGCCGGTCTCCAGCCCAGATCTTGCTCAGGTGAGGGCAATCTTAGGGAAAGAAGGCTGGATCAGAGAAAGGGCTCTTGGGATGGGAGGTAAGGGTTTAGGGGTTCCTTATCCAAGTGCCTGGATGAGGCTAAGACTCTTACCATGTGATCTGGGAGAGGCCACTCTGAATCATGTTACCCATTCCAGGGGGGGCTCAGGAGCTTAAAGAAAAGGCTGCATGGAAGACAAGACAATGCTTATGAGTACTGACTCCTCTTTCTCATCTACCTTAATCCTCCACCGCAGGTGGCAGGTCCAACGAAAAGTGATCTGCATCCCTAAGAGTGTCACGCCTTCCCGTATCCTTGAGAACATCCAGGTACTTGGTGATCGGTCCCGTCTTTAGGCCATTGGGACACAATCTGGCCCCAACTCTGCCAGGCTAAGAAGGCAGTGTTCTAGAACCCCGACTTTCACTCACAAAGCTGGCTTTCCTGACCTCTACTACCCATCCCCAGGTTTTTGACTTCACCTTTACTCCAGAAGAGATGAAGCAGCTGGATGCCCTGAATAAAAATTGGCGATACATCGTGCCCATGCTTACAGTGAGTGTATTTCACACCCCCAGAGTCGGTGAATGTTAGATTTGAGCAGGATTCTGACCCAAGCCTGGCCTCAATATTGCTGATCAGAGAGAGGAAGAATGGTATTGTTGGTAGGATTTCTACCCTGGACACAATGGGCTCTTTTTATTCAGGGAGGAAATAGTGGATCAGAGATAAGAAGTATAACAAGTAAGTCCCAGTCTTGCTTTCCTATATCTTGTAAGCTAGATGTTAATTAACTTCTCCAAGCCTAAGCTTCCTATTTTTAAAATGATTCTAGTTCCTGACATATAGAAAAATCTTAGTAAATGATATAAATGAGGGGAGCCTAGAAGGCATTCTCAGCCTTCTCAGAGGGGTTGAAGTTGGGTTGCAACCTACTGCACATAAGGAAATAAATAGTTCCTTCCCAGCTGAGACTGCAAACTTTATGTTCCAGGCTATGCGTTTAGTGGGAATGCTGTTGACATTGTTGCATTCTATGAGGCTGGGGCCTTGTTGTTGCCATTTGGCATCATGCTGTACACAAGTGAGGCTCAGGAAGTTTTGGGAAATGATGCCCTGCGTCGTTGAAATATTAACCTCTAATAAGGTCATGTGTCTGTCTCTTTTCCAGGTGGATGGGAAGAAGGTCCCAAGAGACGCGGGACACCCTCTGTACCCCTTTAATGACCCGTACTGAAACCACAGCTTCCTTTCCATCTCTCCAGCTGTGAGGTACTGCCACCCCCAGGAAGATTTAATAAACCCATTGAAACATCTACACTGCTCATTGTGTTGTTTGTTTTTGTTTTGTTTTTTTTATAAAAAGGGAGATTCTTTATTCAAAATCAGCATTCAGATTCTTCCAGCCCCAACCCAGAGGGGGCAGCCCTCCCTCCCCTCTCCCCTCACCGGCCCCTTGGCCACAGGGAGGGGAATGGAAAATGAGAAGCCAGGAGGGCCTCTGCCAGGGTAGGCTGCCTCCAGTGTGTGGTGAGCCCAGGCTAGCTGTGGCAGGGTGGCAGCTGCCACGGACCCCTCCCTATAAATTAAGTCTCTGCAGCCACAGCTGGCGGAGGCATGTTTGTGGAAGGCAGGCCCAAAGGCAGCGTCGCTGATCCCAGCCATGGAATGATCGAGAGGTCAGGGGAGGAAAGGTATGGAGGAGGAGGAAGACGCCCTAAATTTTGGTCCCGGGGTGGGGAGAGAGAGGGGAAAAGAGGCCAGTTGGTCCAGTTTCTGTGTGATTGGAGGAGGGAATGTATTAGTAAGCACAGGGGGAGGCCGCCATTGGGCACCACTGGGCACCCCCAGAGGAGAGATGCCAGGCCAGGCCCTCCCCCTGGCAGAGAGGAGCCGGAGGGCTGCAGGGGCTCTTGGGAATGTCACTGCTAAAATATATCTTTATATGTATTAACCATCCGGGGAAGGGCAGGAGCAGGGCTGGGAGCGGATCAGAGGATCTGACGTGGCATCCGGTAGCCGGTCATGCCCGCCTGCGACGCCCCGCGGTTGGTGCCCATCTGTAACCCAATCACGTTCTTGCCCTCCTGCAGCTGGTTGTCTGAGAAGTTCCGGGGGTTCTCCTTGGACTTCTTGGGGAACCAGTTGGGGTCCCCGGAGAAAAGGCCGTCCTCCCGGGCCACCGCCAGCCCACCCAGGTTCTTCAGCGTCCGCTGCACGCAGGCCATGTTCTTTCCTTCCCAGAGGTCCACCGTCTGGAAGATGTCGGTGGTGTTGAAGCCATAGCGCTCGGCTGCTTGCAGGAACTGGGAGATCTGCTCCATCTGCTTGAAGGCCATGGTGGAGGCCTGGATCTTCTTCACGGGGCCCTGCCCCTCGGGGTACAGCCCGTTGATGAGCTCACACAGCACCGTGCCATCCTTGAGCCAGTTCTGGAAGTTCTCCCGCCCGGGCTGGGGCCGGCCCACGTCCTTGCGGCACTGGGTGGTGATCCACTGGATGAGGATCTGCTCCAGGTCTGCGTCGTACTGCTTCTCCATCTTCTGCTGCACCTCCCGGCTCAGGCCATAGGCGGGTCCCCTGTTGGCCATTCTGAAGGGCAGCGGCGTCGGGCGGGCAGGAGAGCGCGCACGCGGGCGGGGCTGCAGGGCGAATCTCATTGTGTTGTTTGGCTGGTAGGACCTGGGATGGAACCGTTTCCCTTGGGGATACTGGGTACTACCTTCCTGGAGCCCAGACTCCCTTATCATTCTTCATTCTGGAGGAATCAAAATGGAGCTGGATTCAATTTGTGCTTTTCTGAACTGGTCCGCCATCTACAGGCAGCTCTGAGCACCGCATGCTGCCACCCCATGGCCCTCAGCTTTCTTACTGAGAATCCATAAAATCGGTCACCTCAGTATTGGTAACAAGGCAGGGAGAGTTCTGTGCATTGCTGAGCCTGAGTCTTGAGTTCCCACCTCATTTCCTACTTGGCCAGTGCCGAGGCTTAGGAATATGAAGAGCCAACTTAACAGCTTGCAAAATCATGGAAAGGGGTTTAGGCTTTTTCTGTCACACAGGACAATCTGTGTGCATAGGCGATCAAAGAGGGCAGAGTCAGCCCCAAAGCTTGTCACTCTGCACCTAATGTCCTATTGTACGTACTTAATAGTCCCATTAAAGGGCACTGAAATTTTTTGGAGGCTTTTGTGAAAATCCCTGTAGCCCTAGCTAGTTTGGCTCAGCGCATATAGCCTTGGCCTGTGGACTGAAGGGTCCCAGGTTCGATTCCAGTCAGGGGCATGTATCTTAGTTGCAGACTTGATCTGCAATTGGGGCATGCAGGAGGCAAATGATTGATGTTTCTCTCTTTATCAATCCCTCTCCCTTCCCCTCTCTAAAATAAATAAAAATATATTTAAAGTTCTAGCTGGTTTTGCTTAGTAGATAGAGCAACGGCCTGTGGACTGAAGAGTCCCAGGTTCTATTCCAAGCAAGGGCACATGCCTGGTTTGTGCACTTGATCCCCAGTAGGGGCTGTGCAGGAAGCAGTTGATCAATGATTCTCATCATTGGTGTTTCTCTCCCTCTCCCTTCCTCTCTGAAATCAATTAAAATATATATATATATTAAAAAGAAAAGAAAATCTCTATAAACTCGTCACACAAAACTCTGTTTTTCTTTTTTCTTTTTACAAAACTCATTTTTACAACACTGCTCTTCACTGAATAAATAATTATTGGGTACTTATGTGGTTTAGGCACAATGCTAGACCCTAGGGATATAGCTATAACCAAGACACATAGGTCCCTGTAGGCTACTTCAGAAAAGACTTTAAAGTAATTGCATAATTAGTTTAATTACAGTTGGAAGAAGTGCTGCACAGTAATACAGTGAGAAGCCTATCTTTATCAACTGAGATCTGAAGGATGAATAGGGATTAATTAGTTAAATGAAGTGAGAGTAGGAATAGTGTTCTGTGCAAATTGGGTAGCTTGAGGGAAAGGCCTTGAAACTGGAAGAAGTGGGAAAATCTAAAGAAGGCTTGTGTGAAAGAAACTGAAGGTGAGCAAAGGTAGAATGACACAAAATAATGCTGGAATTAGGCAGAGGCTGGTGAGTGAGGTCATAGGAGAGTGGGTTAAGATATGTTTGGGCCAAAACCGGTTTGGCTCAGTGGCTAGTGTTTGTCTGCGGACTGAAAGGTTCCAGGTTCGATTCTGGTCAAGGGCACCTACATTGGTTGCGGGCACATCCCCAGTAAGGGGTGTGTAGGAGGCAGTTGGTCAATGTTTCTCTCTCATCAGTTTCTAGCTCTCTATCCCTCTCCCTTCCTCTCTGTAAAAAAATCAATAAAACGTATTTTAAAAAGAAAAAAACAAACAACCCTGGTGCAGTGGATAAGGAAATGGAGGGAGATGCATTAGAAGTTATTCTTTTGTCTCTGGACCTTTCTATCTACAATATTGTACTTCTTGGCCCATTCTATGGGCTAACACCTATTACTTAAATGTTCAGTTTAGCTGTAACTTCTCTAGGACATCTTTCCTGACCTCACCCTACCCAGATAGCTTACTGTGTGACACCATGGCTCCCTCACACTTTCATGATCCACATGTCCATGGTTATGAGGTAAATGATGTGTGTTAGTTTGTTGGGCTGCTGGAACAGTGCTACAGAATGGCTTAAACAACAAATTTATTTTCACACAGTTCTGGAAGCTAGAAGTGGAAGATAAGTTATTAGCTGACTTGATTGCTTCTGAGGGACATGAGAGAAGGAAATGTTCTAGGCCTCTCTCTATTTTGCTTGTAGATGGCCATCTTCTCCCTGTCTTTACATTGTCTTCTCTGTGTATGCATTTGATAAGAACACTGGAATAGGGCCACTCCAAATACAATCACATTCTGAGGACTAGCATATAAATTGACAGGGGAAGGAAAATTCAGCTCATATAAGGAAGCAAAAATTATAACATGATGCCAGACTGGTATGGCTCAGTGGTTGAGGGTCAACCCAGGAACCAAGAGGTCGCCAGTTCAATTCCTGGTCAGGGAACATGCCTGGGTTGCAGGTTTGATCACTAGTATGGGGCGTACAGGAGGCAGTTGATCAATGACTGTCTTTCAATGATGTTTCTATCTCTATCCCTCTCCCTTTCTCTAAAAATCAATTAAAATATATTTTAATAAAGTTATAGGAAATTATTCATTCGCCCTGGCTGGTGCTGCTCAGTGATTAGATTGTTCACCCATCTAACTGAAGGGTCTTAGGTTTCCATTCCGGGCAAGAGCATGCACCTGAGTTGCAAGTTCAATTGCAGTCCTGGTCAGGGCATGTGCAGCATATGACCGATGTGTCTCTCTCATATTGATATTTTTTCTTTGTCACCTTTCCTCCCTCCCACTCTCTAAAAAGAAATGAAAAAATACCCTTAGATGAGGATTTTTAAAAATTCACTAATAAACTGACTACTTAAAGTTGGTTTTTGATTCAGATATCTCATCCTGATTAACAGCATTGCTCTATAGACATCTTTGTCTAATCATTGGACTGTACAGTGCACATTCACTACAAAGTGAAATTGCAGATCTTAAAAAAAGAAGCAATTATGAAGCAATTAAAATGTGATGTTGGGGAACTTACTTCACCAAAGCCATTGCAAAGTGAGGATCTGAAAGTTAAACTTAAATGGAAGAGAAAAATGCTAGACTTCAAAGGAAGTGTTTGGAATATCCAAGTATTAAGGAAGGTCTTTGGGAAAACTAAGAGTATTTTTGAAAAAAGGATTTTTAAAAATATATTTTATTGATATTTTTTACAGAGAGGAAGGGAGTGAGATAGAGAGCTAGAGACTTCGATGAGATAGAAACATCGACCAGCTGCCTCCTGCACACCCCCCACTGGGGATGTGCCCACAACCAACGTACATGCCCTTGGCCGGAATCGAACGTGGGACCTTTCAGTCCACAGACTGACGCTCTACCACTGAGCCAAACCGGTTTTGGCCCCACCAGGAATCTTTACCAGTGTGCCTGAACCTGGACGTAAATAATATCCCATTCTGACCTCTGTAGGCAAGGCTAAGGTGCATGATGCTCCAAGCGTGGGTAAGTGCAGCCATTTCAGTTTGCCAGTTATCTTTCCACTCAGTTTGCAGAAAATGAAGCGCACTGCTTTCCAGGACCGACTTGGCTTGCAACTTTCTGAGCAAGTCTCATCTTTCCTGAACTGTATTTTCGATTTCTACCAAATGGAGTGGATACCACCAATCTGATTAGTAGTGTTGTTAAGATTACGTATCTAAGACTGCTAATCGCTTTAAGTGTCTAATGTTTAGACTCTAAACACATTTCCCTGGCTTGTAATAAGGCAAACAAACAAATCCTAGCGAGGAGCGGAGGGGAAAGAGCTGGGACCACTAAGCAAGGTGGGTTTGGATTCTGGGGCGGGCCTAAGCTGACGGCGTCAGCCTATTGGTCCAGCCGGAGGGGGCGGGCACGAGGGGCGGGGCCAGCAGAGCACCACTGCAGAAGAGAGCTTTGAATCGAGCGCGGTAGTTCCTGCGGCAGCCAATCCTAGGATAGCATTTCCTTCGGTCAGTTGTTGCTCACAGCCACGCGTCTCACGCCGAGATCAGTTTTAGCCGTTGCTCCTGCGCCCGTGCTCGGCTCCTGCGTGCCCTATCGGTTACGAGTGCGAGGATAAAGTCTCAGACAACCTCCCTCCCGCATTATCCGGGCCGGAAATAGACCCTCCGCTTTCCGCTCCAAACCTGCAGAGCGGCACCAGCTTGCCTTTCCGTGGAAGCCGCTGGCTGCCGCCCGCTCAGGAGTTGTAGAACCAAGATTCCAGTTCTTATGCGACTTGCTAGAGAAGCTGGGAGTAGCTTTTTGGGGCGAAAACAGGTCAGGGGAGGAAAGGTACACCGAGAGCCAGAAGCGAGGATAGGGGTGTCCTTGGGCCAGGCTGGGCTGGGTTCTGGTCCTTTAAACCAGAGGGGGAGGACCCGGAAGTGGATGGGCGGGGCGAAGGGCGCTAATATATGAGAGGGCCCAGCCGCGCGGGGTCTCCAATCTGCCATTTTCTGTGCCCGTGTGAGTCTTCGGCGTCCGAAATCCGCTGTTTCCTCACAGGCTGTGTTTCGTCCGCCGGACCACCACCTCAGGGGAACGATGGACGCGGAGTCCACAGCCGCTGCCGCCATCTCTGCGGAGCTGGCTTCTGCCGACAAGTAAGCAGGACCACGGAAAGCTTGAGGCTTTGGCCAGTTCGCGGAGGGGGGGAGGCGGGCAGGCTGGGGCTCCCCGGGAGGGGAGACCAGTGGGTTGGAGGGCTTGCCTCCCAGGGAACAACCATCGCCGTTTAGGAAGCCTGGACGCTGGAGAAGTCCACCTCTGGCAGAAAGTCTCGCGCATTAGCAGTTACGCCGGTTGGCTGGCGCCCCCTGCCCCGCTTTCCGCGGCCGCCATCTTGCCGGGGGCAGCAGCGGCGGCGGCGGCGGCGGCGTCTGTCTGCTTCGCCAGCCCCTCTCCTCCCTCCCCGGGCCCGGGGCTGTCGGCGGGAAGGCGGGGCCCAGCGCACCCTTGTGCCTAATCGGAGCTACAGCCTACTGCCCCCCGCACTCCTGGCGCGCGCCTCCAGGACGATCCTCAAAAACAACCTGAGAAAATAACCAATAGAGATTTGGCGCCAAAAAAAAAAAAAAGAAAGAAAAGCCCTGCAGAGAGGCTGGACCGGCGAGGCCGGTGGGCGGGGCCTCGGGGCGGGGCCTCGCGCCCGCGTTGGCCGGCCTCTGCCGGCGCTGGGGCGGGGGGCGGGGCCCGAGGAGGCGGGAAAACTCCCATTGTTTGGGCTGTGCGGCCGCAGCCTGGCGTTTCGGCAGTGGGGCAAGGCGAAGCTGGACCCCCGCGGTGTCCTGGCTCACCTCGTGCCCTCCTACCTTCAGCTAGCCGGTTCTGGGACCTGTGGTGGAGAGCATCGTGGTTCTCTGGACTGTGGGAGTGTCAGATCAGCGAAGGACGCTGTTTCTGGGGCTTCTTGGGGACGTGAAGCATCTTCCCCTAGAGCTGCCTGGAGTTTTGCTCGTTTGGTCGGGAGGGTGAATGAGCAGTAGTAATATGCACAGATTGACGAGAGAATGATAGGAGATACGATTGTTTTGAAAGTGGCACAATGCCACTCAGACCTGAGGTATTTTTTGAATAGTGAGAAAAAGTGTTTTTAATGGTTATTTGAGAGAGAGAAAAAAAACATTAATGATGAGAGAACCAGTGGTCGGGAAATCGAACGCTCAATAGTGAAAACATTTAATTAAAGAAAAAAAGTACTCTTTCCCATCTAGTACGTCTACACAATCTTTTCCTTTATCTCGGGCTTCGTTGTTTTTCCTTTGTGCACTTTTTACCCTGTTTCCCTGAAAATAAGACAGTGTCTTATATTAATTTTTGCTCCCAAAGATGCGCTAGGTCTTATTTTCAGGGGATGTCTTATTTTTCCATGAAGAAGAATACGGTACACATTTATTGTTAAATGAAAATAAAGGAAATTTATTGCCTGTATACGGTACGGTAGTATGGTAGTTGTCAATACAAACCAGACTGAATCCTACAGTATCAAGAATTTACTCATTTATTCAATGACAATCATGTCATCGTCTTCTGGAACATCATCATAACAATCTAATTCCTGAATTTCCTGGTGAATTTCTTGTGACTCCATTTCTTTCAGAATCAGTGGACCAAAGCTCTCATGTTTAGCCTAGGGGGGCCTTATTTTCGGGGGATGCCTTATATTTCACTTAGAAGGAAACCTGTAAGTAGGTCTTATTTTCGGGGAAACATGGTATTTGCTTTTCTTTGAGCACTGTACAGGGAGAGGTTGCTGTGAGGTTGTTAGGAATTTCTTCTGTAGCCTTACACTTTGATTGTGTTAGTACACTTACAGTTACCAGAGGTTTATTTATCTCTCTACCTATCACTTTTTGAATATTTATATTTGGTCCACATAAGTATACTATGAAGTAGTTCTCCTGTAGGTGAGAAAAGTCAAGATCAGAATGCAGAAATTAATAAATGGTAGAGTGTGCATTAAACCCAAGTTGTGTGTGTGTGTGTGTTTTATAGCAAAGGTAGAGATTTATTGAAGAACAAATAGACTCCCACATGGGGAGGGGGAAAGAGTCCCTTAAACCCACATCAAAAGCTTATCTGAGAGGAAATTGGATGAAAACTAATTAGCTATCAGAGAATAAAAGGCCGCAATGGGAAGTTAAATCTTGGTTGAGACTATGCAGAGGTCAAGCCCTAAGGCGCTGAAGGGGGAGTGTAAAGAAAATGCCTTCTGAGTTTAGACTTAAATAAGAATGCACATTGTAATTCCAGCCTAACCATTGAAAGGATAAGAATATAACTTCTAAAACACTAGAGGAAAGGTGGAATGAGAAATAAACCTCAATTCGGGTTGATTTTATTTTTTGAATACCAGCGTCATTGCCTAAGCAGCGATGTTGGGCCACAGTTTTGTCTTCTGTAAAGAGCTTCAATTTGGCTTTTCTTCCTCTTGCCATTTAAACAACATGGCTAATGGTAATAGTATAAATGCTAGATCAGTCCTCATTATAGTTACATTTTTAATTAGTTTTTTACGGCTTTAATGTTAGAAAATATAAAGCATATAAGAGTTTGTACAGTAGTGGTGAGAAGAAATAAGAAAGTTTAGAAAAAGAAGTCTTATGTGGGGGCATTGAATTTTGGCTTCCCAGTCATAATTCCTGAGCTGCTTATCCATTGCTTTAGAAGACACCCCCCCCCCCAAAAAAAAAAAAAGGGTAGTTTAACTCAATAATAAAGTTCTGGCATTTACATGCTAATTGGCAAAAATCACTTGTCCTAATCCTACCATAGTACTACCATAGAATAGGGATTCACAATTGCTCCTTTATTTTTTAAATTGATTTTAGTGAGGAGTGGGGGAGAAGGGAAGAATGAGCAGGAAATATCCATGGAACCTACATCCTGGGTATGTGCTTTACCAGGAATCAACTTCAAGCAACTTAGCCACACCATCCAGAACCATTCCTTATTTTAACAAATCACTGTTCTAGATGCCAGACTTTGTGCTTGGTGCTAGGCTGCAGCTAGGATAAAATACACATGGTTTCTTTCCTTAGAATTAAATTCTGTATTCTAAGTCAATAGGAAATTGAAATACAATATGAATTGTTGTGAGGGAGGGTGATGTAGGTTACAAAGTCAATTGGTTAAGTACTTTCTCTGTAAAATATGAATATTGCTACCTGCCACAGAGTATTGTTTAAAATATATTTTATTGATTTTTCACAGACAGGAAGGGAGAGGGACAGAGAGCTAGAAATGTCAGAGAAACATCGACCAGTTGCCTTCTGCACACCCCCCCACTGGGGATGTGCCCGCAACCAATGTACATGCCCTTGACCAGAATCAAACCTGGGACCTTTCAGTCTGCAGACCGATGCTCTATCCACTGAGCCAAACTGGTTTTGGCTACAGGGTACTTTTTGTTAATCCTCACCTGAGGATATTTTTTCCATTGATTTTTCAGAAAGAGGAAAGAAGGGGAGAGGAGAGGGAGATAAGCATATGAGAGACACAGTCATCTGTTGCACATGTGCCATACCTGGGCCTTGGGATGGAGCCTGCAATCCAGGCACGTTCCTTAACCGGAATTGAACCATGACTTACCAGTTCATAGGCTGATGGTCAACCTCTGAACCACATTGTCTGGGCTTTTGTTTGTTTCAAACAAAAGCCCAGACAATGTTTTCAAATGTTTGAGCTGTTCATGTTTTCTGTGAATGCCTTGTATTCTTTAATCTTGGACTTTTTTTTCCATATTGATTGCTGAGATTCTGTGTATAGATGCTAAGTTGACCTTTTTAAAAAAAAGTTTTTAGCTCTAACTGGTTTGGCTCAGTGGATAGAGCATCTGCCTGTGGATTGAAGGGTCCCAGATTCTATTCCGGTCAAGGGCATGCAATTTGGGTGCTTGGTTGGGGGCACATACCTAGTAGGGATTGTGTGGGAGGCAGCTGATAAATGTTTCTCTCTCATCGATGTTTCTAACTCCCTTCCTCTCTGTAAAAAAAAAAAATAAAAAAAATCAATAAATCATATTTTTTTAAAATAATTTTTATTTAAAGAAATTTTTTTTCTTTTTTTTCTTTTGAGAGAGAGAGAGAGAGAGAGAGAGAGACAGAGACAGAGACAGACAGACACATCAGTCAGCTGCCTATTTGGATCAAGCCAGAAACCCAGGGCATATGCCCTGACCAGGAATCGAACTGGTGGCCTGTTCGTGCTCAGCCACTGAGCCACGCTGTGCTAAGTTGATCTTTTGTAAAATTAACTAGGTAGAATATAATTAATCTTTCATGGTTTCTGAGTTTAAAAAGGCTTTCTTCAGATTGTTTTAACCTCCCTGACTGGTTTGGCTCAGTGGATGGAGCGTTGGCCTGTGGACTGAGAGGTCCCAGATTCGATTCCAATCAAGGGCACATACCTTGGTTGCGGGCACATCCCCAGTGGGAGGTGTGCAGGGGGCAAGCTGTTCCATGTTTCTGACTCTGTCCCTCTCCCTTCCTCTATAAAAAAATTAATAAAAATATATTTTTAAAAAGGTATTTCAACCATAATTTTCTCTCATACTTTTTTGAATTTATATATATATATATATATTTTTTTTTTTAAATATATTTTATTGATTTTGTACAGAGAGGAAGGGAGAGAGATAGAGAGCTAGAAACATCGATGAGAGTCATCGATCAGCTGCCTCTTGCACACCCCCTACTGGGGATATGCCCGCAACCAAGGTACATGCCCTTGACCGGAATCAAACCCGGGACCCTTCAGTCCCCAAGCCGACGCTCTATCCATTGAGCCAAACCGGTCTCGGCTGAATTTATATTTTACATGATTTTTCAAGAGAATCAGAAATCAGATTTCTATGTGATATCTTCATAGTTTTAAACGTAGAACTATTATGATAAACATAAAAAGTAACAGTGGATAACCTGTCTCTGACCTAGATAGGACATCTCTCTCTCTCCCTCCCTTCTTCCCTCTCTCCCTCTCTCCCTCTTTCTTGCTCTCTCCCTCTCTTTCATAATAAAAGGCTAATATGCGAAGTGTCCCTTCCAGAATTCAACTGTTCACTATGATGTGTGCTGACCACCAGGGGGTGGCATAGAATGAAGGATGCAGCCCTGATCACCAGCCAGGCCTAGGACCCTATCCATGCATGAATTAAATGCACCGGGCCTTTAGTTTATAATTTTTGTTCTAATTCAGTGATTCTTAACAGTGTGGGTCTAAAACCAAGCAGTATAGCATCATCTGGGAAGTTGTTAGAATTTCCAAATCCTGGGCCTTATAGTAGACCTGCTGAATCAGAAAGTCTGGCTGGGTGGCACAGTTAGTTGGATTATATAGTTCATTACATTAAAAGGTTGTGGATTTGATTCATGGTCAGGGACATACATGCCTAGATTGTGGTGTGTAATGGAGGCAACAGATAAATGTTTCTCTTCTCCCTCTCCCCCTTTCCTCTCTCTTGCAAAAAAATAATAATAATAATAATTAAATTATAAAATAATATTAAGATATTTAACAAATGAATGTTCTGGGAGACTGCTTCTTGCTTTATTTAAAAAAAAAATTATCTTTAGTGAGCAGTTTTTTAGAATGTGAGGATTGCCAAGAATGCATATATCACATTATAACAGAAATGTTGCGTTCTTTCTTTGTTTTCTTTTTTTTTTAAATATTTTTTATTGATTTTTTACAGAGAGGAAGGGAGAAAGAAAGAGAGCTAGAAATGTCAATGAGAGAGAAACATCGACCAGCTTCCTCCTGCACACCCCCTACTGGGGATGTGCCCACAACCAACGTACATGCCCCTGACCGGAATCGAACTCAGGACCCTTCAGTCCGAAGGCTGACAATCTACCAGTGAGCCAAACCTGTTTCGGCTGTTGCATTCTCTTTCATCTGATTGTAAACTTGAAGCTACTATGTGACTGTCTTGTTTAAAGTATGAGTCATACCTAGCAAATAAATGTTTAAGAGATTTGAATGAGTAGAATTAAATTTGTTATTTGATAGGCCGAGGTGGCTCAGTGCTTGAGCATCAACATATGAACCAGGAAGTCACCATTCAATTGCCAGTTGGGGCACATGCCCAGATTGCAAGCTTGAATACCCAGTGTGGGGTGTGCAGGAGGCAGCAGATCAATAATTCTTTCATGGTTGATGTTTCTATCTCTCTCTCCCTCTCTGAACTAAAAAAAAAAAAAAAAAAAAGCCGAAACCTGTTTGGGTCAGTGGTAGAGCGTCTGCCTGCGGACTAAAGGGTCCCAGGTTTGATTCCGGTCAAGGGCATGTACCTTGGTAGCAGGCACATCCCCAGTAGGGGGTGTGCAGGAGGCAGCTGATCGATGATTCTCTCATCGATGTTTCTAACTCTCTATCCCTCTCTCTTCCTATCTGTAAAAAATCAATAAAATATATATATTTTTTAAATGTTGCTTCAGCAACACAAAAGAAATCTTTCTTTAAAAAAAAATATATATATATAAAATCAATAAGAATATATTAAAATAAAAAAGATTTTTGTATCATGCTGGGCTTTAAAGAGAGAAACTTCAATTTGTTGGCCCACCTATTTATGCATTCATTGGTTGATTTTTCTTTTAAAATGATGTTTTTATTTATTTTAGAGAAAGAAGGAGAAAAACATAATTAGGCTGTCTTCTGCACGTCCCCCTGCTCTGGTTGGGGGTGGGGAGGGTATCTAGCCAAAAGCTCAGACATGAACCCTGACCAAGAATCAAACTACTAGTAACCTGGCGTATGGGTCATTGAGGGTGAGGGTGGGGCAGTCAATTAGCATATCCCCTCTTTATTAGATTTTTTTTTCTTTTTTAAAAAAATGTTTTATTGTTTTTTGTTTTTTTGTTTTTTTTGTGTGTGTTTTTTTTTTTTTACAGAGAGGAAGGGAGAGGGATAGAGAGTTAGAAACATCAATCGGCTACTTCTTGTACACCCCCCCTACTGGGGATGTGCCTGCAACCAAGGTACATGCCCTTCACTGGAATCAAACCCCGGAGCCATTCAGTTTGCAGGCCAACACTGTCCACTGAGCCAAACTGGTCAGGGCTGATAGGATTGTGTTCAGAGAAGGAGGGAGAGAGAGAAATATTGTTGATGATAGAGAATCATTGATTGTTTACCTCCTGCATGCCTTCTACTGGGGTTTGAGCCTGAAACCCAGGGATGTGCCCTTGACCAGAATCGAACCTGGGACCCCTCAGTCTGCAGGCTGATGCTCTATTCACTGAGCCAAACCAGCTAGGGCTCTACATATTTAATCTTAACACCCTTCCCCTTATTTTTCCATTACAGAATTGAAGATGATGCTCCAGCTCCTTCTACTTCTGCAGATAAAGTAGAGAGGTAAGATTATTTACCTGGTACGGTTAGATTTATATCTAATTAGATTTATTGTGGGTTTTCTTGCAACTTACACATACTTTACTGGTTTGAAAGCTTTCATAATGGTATGAATGATGTTTCACATAGTTGATCTCAACTTTGTTCACACTGATGTCAGTGAGTTGTACTTGGGTTTTTATGCTCTAGGTTCTGCTCAGTTGCTGCTGTTGCTATTTGTTTCTGGATCTACAGTGGATATTCTCATATAAAATCCTGTTTTTTAAAAAAATATTTTATTGATTTTTTTTTTTACAGAGAAGAAGAGAGAGGGATAGAGAGTTAGAAACATCGATGAGAAAGAATTATCGATCAGCTGCCTCTTGCACACCCCCTACTGGGGATGTGCCCGCAACCAATGTACATGCCCTTGACCGGATTCGAGCCTGGGACCTTTCAGTCCGCAGGCCGACGCCCTATCCACTGAGCCAAACTGGTTTCGGCTAAAATCCTATTTTGTTTTAATTTCTTCTCTGGCTGTTTTTTCCTGGATTCTTAGTTTTATGTAATTATACCTACAATGGAACCAGTGTCCTAAAGACACCAAGATACTCCAACATCACAGGAGAGGAAGGAAGAGGAGAGAGAGAATCATCAAAGATGGGAGGAATCATTAATCAGTTACCTCGTGCATTACAGAGAGGAAGGGGGTGAGATAGAGAGTTAGAAACATCTATCAGCTGCCTCCTGCGCGCGCGCGTGCACACACACACACACACCCACCCTCAACCTGAGGTTGTGCCTGCAACCAAGGTACATGCCCTTGACCAGAATTGAACCTGGGACCCTTCAGTCTGCAGGCCGATGCTTTATTCACTGAGCCAAACCTGTTTTGGATGGGGCATGTATCCTTGACAGGAATTGAACCCGGGATCTTCCAGTCTGCATGCCGACATTCTATCCACAGAACCAAACCAACAAAGGCCATATGTGCATCTTCTAATTCTTCTAGTTAACAAGAGATTTCCAAGGCCAGCCACAATATATACTAATGAATCATATAATATTGAGTAGGTACACAGGGAATGTTCTTGACATCTAAAATTTCTAGGAGTTTAAAAGGGCTTCCCCGCTCTGACCGGTTTGGCTCAGTGGATAGAGTGTCGGCCCGTGGACTGAAGGGTTCCAGGGTCGATTCTGGTTGAGGGCATGTGCCTTGGTTGCAGGCACATCCCCAGTTGGGGGGGTATAGGAGACAGCTGATAGATGTTTCTTTCTCATTGATGTTTCTGGCTTTCTATCTCTCTGCCTTCCTCTCTGTTAAAAAAAAAAAAAAAAAATCAATAAAATATATTTTAAAAGGGGTGGGGGCTTTCCTTCCTGGGCCAGGCTTTGATGTGGCAGCCATGGGGAGGACTCAGTTTTATTATGTTTAATAGGTAACAAATAAAACTGCATATTAAGGTGCTTGTACATCGTCGTTTCGTGGTTACTACGTTACTATCTCCCATTTATATATAAAAAAAAAATTCTGTCATTTTGACGTAGGTACATAGGTGCTTTATATTTTTATTATTTATTTAAGTAAAGGTCAGGAATTGATATCTTTTATTTATTTATTTATTTATTTATTTATTTATTTTTACTGTTTTCACTTCATTACTGCTTTGTATGTGCTCCATGTGAGTGATGTAGGTGGGTTCTGACTTACAGTGAAAATCAAGTTACATCTCACCTTAAGAATCGATCTCGATGTAACCCGAGGGCCTACTGTATTTGTAAATCTGAGTATGATTTTGTATGTCCAGACTGATGTTTTTCCCCCCCTTGAATAAAATACTAGAATTGAAAGTTTAGTTATGCTTCTTATTCCTTATACATCATGACTAACAAATGTTATCCTATGCTTTTTTTATATATATATATATTTCTGCTGACACACATTTCTTTGTTATAAGGTTCCCATTTTCAATTTTGTTGTTACTGTAGTCTAAATGTTTAAAATTTTCTTTTTATATATATGTGTGTGTGTGTGTGTGTGTGTGTGTTGTATTATTGATTTTTTTTTTTAAGCCAGAGTTTTTTGTTTTTTGGTTTTTTTTAATATATTTTATTGATTTTGTACAGAGAGGAAGGGAGAGAGATAGAGAGTTAGAAACATCGATGAGAGAGAGTCACCGATCAGCTGCCTCTTGCATACCCCCTACTGGGGATGTGCCCGTAACCAAGGTATTAATACATGCCTTTGACTGGAATCGAACCCGGGACCTTTCAGTCCCTAAGCCGATACTCTATCCATTGAGTCAAACCAGTTTTGGCTAAATGTTTTAAATTTTCTATTGAGCCCACTTCTACTTCATTAAAACTTCCCCATCTTTATGTGACCATGATTCTTAAGCAGAGGTAATAACTAGAAAGTTTATCCAAAAGGTAGATGCCTGAGTTGCATCCCTGGAAATTTTGTTTAGTTTCAGATAGAATTCAGGTTTTTGTGTTGGGAAAGCTTCCTATTAATTCTTAAGTTCGCTTAGGTTGAAAATCACTGTTTCAAATTTATTTAATCCTCCTATAGAGTATTTGCATGTATTGTTTTTTATTATTGCTTTATTACCATATATTAATGCAGTAAAGGGGGGGTCAGAAGTTCACAAACATTCTACAGTTTCACAAAACACATTGTGGGAAAGGAGTGACCAAGTGCCAATAGTATTCTAGGGTCTTGGTAAATGCATTTGTGGGAGAGGTCTCCTTCCAGGAGGAAACATGTTTGTTGGTGTCCCTTAAGCAAAGGGGAAGTGGGGGGCTAGCTTGATGGATGGGCCCATGGGTGATCTCATACCAGGTAGAGTAGCCATAATGCCTGGAGAGGGGTGTTGCCCAGCCCACAAGTGTTTGGATAGTCTCCTCAACCCGTGGCTATTGAATAGGGGCTCCAGCAATGCTGGCAGTAGCTGCAATAGCTGTGACAATACCAAAGTGATTGAGTCCCTCAATCACTTTGACAGGGCCTGCTAGTCCAAAAATTGGACCATAAACTGGAACACAGCAGCCAAGCCAACTCCAGGGTCTCCTGCAGCTCCTGCAATGACTTTACAATCATGGAAATCAAGTTTATTTGTTGGTAGTGAATAGATAAACCTTTAAGAGGAATTATTATGGTATAAATGTAACAGGTTTTCAAGAAATATTGACTTTAAAATTATTTAACACATGAAAAAAATTTTTCTGGCAGTTTGGATGTGGATAGTGAAGCAAAGAAGCTATTGGGCTTAGGACAGAAGCATCTGGTGATGGGGGATATTCCAGCAGCTGTCAATGCTTTCCAGGAAGCAGCTAGTCTTTTGTAAGTACTGTGTTTTGCTAAAATGTAATCCTATGTTTCTAATAAACTTGAGTCATAAGTTGTTTAATGAGAAAAATTAAGTGTAAGAGTTAAAAAAGATTATTTTTTATGTACAAGCTCTATAACTATAAAACCTACATATAACTGAGCAATTGTAGCCTTTGATTTTCCTAAAGTAATCTGTTTTCTAGTCACTGCTAATTAGGGTGACCAACTTGTCCAGGACTTTTCCATTTTTAGCATTGGAAATTCTGTATCTGGAGAAACTCAATCCCAAGTAAACCATGATGGTTGGCCATCCTACCATTAATGTTTTCATTAGCACAGGATTTTTCATACTCTTATTACTTTGTTATCTGTTCTGTTAGGAAGTTGGCAATTACCACCAGGTGATCATATCCATAATAATAATCTATAATAATAAAAGGGTAATATGCTAATTAGACCAGACATCCTTCTGATGAAGTCTAGGTGGGAGGGAAGCCAGGGGAAGGAAGGCTTATTCTTTTTTTTTTTTTTAATAAATCTATATTCATATTATTACAAAAATCCCTCATTTCCCCCCCCCCCCCTCTATTGCTCCCCTCCACCAGGTTCCCACCCCACCCTCTGCCCTTTTCCCACCCCCATTGTCCTCATCCATAGGTGCACAGTTTATGTTTAGTCTCTTCCCACACTTCTCTCTCCCCTTTTTTCCAAGAATCATCAGTTCACTCCCCTACCATACCTCTGATTCTATTATATTCACCAGTTAATGTTGTTCATCAGATTTTTTTTTAATTCCTTGGTTTTTAGATTCACTTGTTGATAGTTACATATTTGTTGTTCATAGTTTTTATCTTTATTTACTTTCTCTTCTGAAAGAACCCCCTTCAGCAATTCATATAATTCTGGTTTGGTGGTGATGAACACCTTTAGCTTTTTTTTTTATTAGTGAAGCTCTTTATCTGGCTTTCGATTCAGAGTGATAGCTTTGCTGGGTAGATTATCTTTGGCTGTAGGTTCTTACTATTCATCACGTTGAATATTTCTTGCCATTTCCATCTGGCCTGCATGGTTTCTGTTGAGAAATCAACTGACAATTGTATGGGTGCTTCTTTATAGGTAACTACCTGCTTTTCTCTTGCTGCTTTTAATATTCTCTCTTTGACTTTTGCTCTTGGAATTTTAATTATGATGTGTCTTGGTGTGGTCTTCTTTCGATTTCTTTTGTTTGGGGTTCTGTGTGCTTCCTGGACTTGTAAGTCTAATTCTTTCACCAGGTGGGGAAGTTTTCTGTCACTATTTCTTTCAGTATGTTTTTGGTATCTTGCTCTCTCTCATCTTCTGGGACCCCATAATTCTGATGTTGATTCACTTGAAGTTGACCCAAAAGGTTTCTTACATTATCTTCAACTTTCTGGATTCTCTTGTCTTCTTGCTTCTTCGGAGGAGTGTCTTCTGGCTCTTTATGTCCCAAATCTTTGACTTGATTCTTGTGATCTTCCATTCTGTTTTTGGGACTCTTAAGCTTTTACAATTCTGCTTTTCCACATCCTGAGCATGGATCTGTTTGAGTTCTTTTTTTTTTTTTTTTTTTTAATATATTTTATTGATATTTTACAGAGTGGAAGGGAGAGAGATAGAGAGCTAGAAATGTCGATGAGAGAGAAACATCGACCAGCTGCCTCCTGCACATCGCCTACCAGGGATGTGCCCGCAACCAAGGTACATGCCCTTGACCGGAATCGAACCCGGGACCTTTCAGTTCGCAGACCGACGCTCTACCACGGAGCCAAACCGGCTTCGGCTGAGTTCTTCTTGTTTGGGATTCTCTGTTCCTTCTGAACTTGTGTCACTGTCTTTACTAGGTTAAGGAAGTTTTCTACCATTATTTCTTCAAAACTTCTCTATTCATTTCTGTTTTAATATTGTACATTTCACATTGTCCAACAGCTTCCTTAAGCTGTCATCCTGTTTTTAATTTTTTCTCTCTCTTTGGTTCTTTAATTGAGTGATATTTTCAACTGTCTTCTAATACACTGATTGAGCCTCAACTTCCTTCCAATGTGTTCTTTTTTTTAAAATATATTTTACTGACTTTTTTTACAGAGAAGAAGGGAGATAGAGAGCTAGAAACATCAATGAGAGAGATATATTGATCAGCTGCCTTCTGCGCACCCCCTACTGGGGATGTGCCTGCAGCCAAGGTACATGCCCCTGATCGGAACCAAACCTGGGACCTTCCGGTCCGCAGGCCGATGATCTATCCACTGAATCAAACTGGTCCCGGCCCCATGTGTTCTTTATTTGTGTTATGTCCTTCTTTATTTCACACTGTTCTTTTTTCATAGTTACTATACCTTTTTTCATACTGTTGAGCTTTTTTTTTTTTTTTTAAATTGATTTTTTTACAGAGAGGAAGGGAGAGAGATAGAGAGCTCGAAACGTCAATGAGAGAGAAACATCGACCAGCTGCCTCCTGCACACCTTTCACCCGGGATGTGCCCACAACCAATGTACATGCCCTTGACCGGAATAGAACCTGGGACCTTTCAGTCCGCAGACCAAAGCTCTACCACTGAGCCAAACCGGTTTCGGCTGTGGAGCATTTTTAACATCATTATTCTGAACTTTGTTTCATTTATCTCTTCTGGACATTCATTCGCTGGTCCTTTCATTTGTTTTCTCATTTTGGTTGTCTGTTTGAATTTGTGACTATATTTCCGGTAGATCCTTTATACCTCTCAATCTCTAGTGCAGGACAGTGTTAAAGGCTGACTAATTGGATCAACTGCCCTCTCTCTCCCTCCCCCTCCCCCGGCCCAGGAGATGTGCCTGCAACCAAGGTACATGCCCCCGACTGCAATCGAACATGGGACCCTTGAGTCCACAGGCTGACGCTCTATCCACTGAGCCAAACTGGTCAGGGCTGTGCATTGACCCTTTAGGAGGGTGCCCAAACTTTCAGTCACCATTCCCTGGCAGATAGCAACCTACTGCTTTTCACAGCTTGATGTTAAGTGAGTACCTTCCTCAGTTTGGTGCTCTGTGCTGGGGAGCCCAGTTTAGGGATTAGATCCCAGAGTTCCCGTGGCAACCTCCTCCTCCCTTCCCCCAAGCACAGCTGAGATCTCTCTGGGACTTCAGTTGCCGGCTCTATGTGCCTTGCCAGCCCTTTGACTGCCGCCCCTCCTACCAGTCTCTCTCTCTACCTTTGGTCCTTGGGGATCAGGGTTCTCTCCTGTGTGTTTTCCATTGATTATTCAGGAAGCCTTTCTGCATTTCAGTTGTAATTCAAGCTTATTCCTGGGAGCATGTCTGGGCAGCATTCTCCTACTCTTCTTCTTCAATTAGACCTGCTTTCTGGTGTAGCTAAACTTTTTTCCAGCCCAGTGAAGCACTCCAACTTTTCTTTCAGGTAATTGTCAGCAACACAGTAGTAAATATCAACACAAAGCAGATTATTATGTAGTTCATGCAGGGAGAACAAAGGGTAAAATATTTAACTGCAGCAGTGTAGAACTATATTCTGCACAGTGAGAAAACCTGGAGTTATTTTCAAGTTCCACCATTTCTTCTTTTTAGTGGGATCAAGTTTCTAAGCTTTCTAAATCTCTGTTTTCTGACTAATGAATAAAAAATAGTATTCTACCGAGTCTCCTATCTACCTGCTCTAGGACTTCTGTGAGGGAAATGCTTCTCAGATATTTGGTTAAAGTGTGAAATATTTGCACCTGGCTATAAAGCAAGTTGTGTTCCTGGGCTGAAGAAACTCCAAAGATGCTACTCGCTAGGGAGAGGAAGCTGGGCATTGCTATATGATGTCATTACCTAGCACCCACAGTAACAGTTTCTGGGCTGGGGGCTGCATTTTGCACCATGAGATCTCTGCAACATTGGCTGCAATTTGGTGTGGTGGTGGTGCTCAGGGGGTGATGGAGGGGCCTGTGTCACAGTTGGGGGAAGCCAAGTATTGGTTTGTTGGCACAAGGTTCGGTGCCATTTATTTTTAAATGTCCTGTATGCTTCACGGCAGCCCCTGTGTTGTGTGTCTGCCCCTTGGTAATCAGTGCGGTTCATAGTGACCAGTCGGATGGTTGGAGGGACTCTTAGCATATTAACCTTTTATATATATGGATTATATCCAGTTGAGTTGAAGAAACTTTCCTTATAAAATAAATGCTTATCATGAAGGAGACTACCTTATACTTTCTTCACAATACCTCCTAATTAGGCTTTTTTCTTATTTTTTTTCCTGCTTAGTTCCTATAGTTATTCTCACTAGACTCTCAATGCTGATAGTTGGCCTTACTTTGCCTGGCTTTTGCCAATCCTTTACTATTATACATGAAAGTGGTTTCTTGATATAAAGTACCTCCTCCTTCCCATTTGTCATACTTGAGTGATTTTTCTCCTTCCTGCTTCCCTGTCTATTTGAGCCTGGGTCCCCGGGGTCTGGCCTAGAACTGGGGATCAGAGCAGTCGGAACTGGGGCCCAACACAGTCGGAGTTTTATCTCCTTCCCGCTAGGGAACGCCAGCCAGGCACTCAGCCGCCTTCCTCTCCGGCTCTGTCCTCTCCGTGCGTGCCTCGTGTCTCCGTACCTTAGGCTTTTACAGCTCCTCCGCGCTTCCTTCTGGTTTTCTCCTTGCTTCTTGTTGTAGAATTTCCAGTCAGTCGACTTTCCTGTAGTTCTGGGTAATGTCCATTTTATATTTTAGTTGTATTTTATTGAAATTGTTGTGTGCGGCTGCGGCTAGGTGTTTACCTGGGCAGCCATCTTGGATTCTCCCCTGCTTCCCTGTCTAGATAATAGTTAAAACTTATCTATAAATCTGTATTTCTAAGCCTTATTTTATTTTATTTATTTATTTATTTTTTTAGTGGGTTTTTTTTTTTTTTTTTAATCAATCTTTATTGTTCATATTATTACAAAGGTTCCTCATTTCTTCCCCCCTCCACCAGGTTCCCACCCCACCCTCTGCCCCCTCCCCATCCCCCATTGTCCTCATCCATAGGTGCAGTTTATGTTCAGTCTCTTCTTCCCTCAATTTCCCCAATAGTAAATCCCTTTTCAGATAGTAAATCAGTTACTTAGCATTTTCTCATATCAATAATACCTCCACATGCCCAATGATACACTTCACACAAAAGACATTTCCCAATAGGTCAACCAGCCTCATCCAGGCCCCACCCAAGGCACTCACAGATCAACACCCCAGTCCTAAACTAACTCAACACATCCAGATCTAAGCCTTCATCACTTGATTCAGCAGACCTTCAAGTTCCCACGAAAGTTTCCAGCCATGTCTGAGAAGCAGCCATGGGGCAGGGGCAGGCAAGGAGCGAGCTGTTCTGGGCCTGGCTGCTCAGGGCCTGGCCTCTGTTGCTCTGGTTCGTTCCACAACCAGCTGCTCCGGGTCTGGTCACTGCCGCTCCCGACCTAGTTGCTCTGGACTTGGCTGCTGCTGCTCCGGGCCTGGCCGCTCCCAGCCTGGCAGCCGCTGCTCCGGGCCTGGCCACACCCGACCCGCCTGCTCCCCCGGGCCTGGCCGCTCCCAGCCTGGCAGCCGCTGCCCCGGGCCTGGCCGCACCCGACCCGCCTGCTCCCCCGGGCCTGGCCGCTCCCAGCCTGGCAGCCGCTGCTCCGGGCCTGGCCGCACCCGACCCGTCTGCTCCCCCGGGCCTGGCCGCTCCCAGCCTGGCAGCCGCTGCTCCGGGCCTGGCCGCACCCGACCCGCCTGCTCCCCCGGGCCTGGCCGCTCCCAGACTGGCAGCCGCTGCTCCTGGCCTGGCCGCACCCGACCCGCCTTCTAAGCCTTATTTTAAATGCTTTTATATACATTAACTCAGTTTCTGCAGTAGCTCTTTGAGCATTCTTTTTTTTTTTGCCCCCCTCCCTTGAGCATTCTTTTTTATTTTATTTTATTTTATTTTATTTTATTTTATTTTATTGATTTTCCACAGAGAGGAATGGAGAGAGAGAGAGAGAGAGCTAGAAACATTGATGAGAGAGAAACATCGACCAGCTGCCTCCTGCACACCCCCTACCGGGGATGTGCCCACAACTAATGTACATGTCCTTGACTGGAATCAAACCTGGGATCTTTCAGTCCGCAGACCGATGCTCTATCCACTGAGCCAAACCGGTTTCAGCCCTTTGAGCATTCTTAACATTTCTATTTTACAGTTGAGAAAACTATGGCACTGTGAGATTAACTTCTCAGGCATTCTAAATGCTCTTACCTATATTATGATACTTTTCCATGAGCTTTACTCATCGTATAGGTCCTACTGATTACTAGTTAGTCCTAACTACTTTGGTCCATTTTGACACCGATCTTATAGCAGAAGAAATCCCTATTAATGTAGTTTAGCTCTTAGAATTTATATGATAACTGTAGCAAATTGATGTCATTTAGAATATATATGCACTGGTTGTTAGATCAAGGTTTCTTTGACCTTGACTGGAAAGCAAGAGAGGGAAGTACTGGTTTCCTGTAAGAATGTGTTATTGGAAGAATGTTATAACTAAAGAACTAGAAATAAACGTTTTAGAGTAGATGTTAGTTCAGATCTTTGATGTTTATTCTCTTTATAGAGGTAAAAAGTATGGAGAGACAGCTAATGAGTGTGGAGAAGCTTTCTTTTTCTATGGGAAATCTCTTCTGGAGTTGGCAAGGTATGTCTTTGAAGCCACAATTTATAAGTAGAATGTTTTGTATGACCACAATGGTCTATTTAAACACTTCAGTTTCTTTGTTTGCTTAAGATTGTTTACTAGCTTGAGATTTCACATCAACTAGGTGACACTAATTTTACTAAGAAATAGGAAATTAGGGACCACATGAAATATTGATGGAAGTTTTGAAGGGTACTTCATGCAAAGAGTAAAATTAATACTTAAGATTTGCCTTTGGGGTCAGAAAATACTAGCAAGTGAATGTCTAACAAATAAAACTTAAAAGTAGTCTTAATTGTTATAAAGGTGTTGTATAGTTCCCACTAGAAATTATTCACCAGGATAAAATACATTGAGGGCACATGAAACTAGCAAATTATCTATGATCTATTGATTATCACTTTTAGTAAGTTTTCTAGTTTTGTAGAGCATTCTGGTGATTTGTTGTAAACATCTTGCCAGAATGTTTTTTCCCATTTAAGGAAATGTCAGGGGGTATGAAGCTTGGGAAATGTGACCCTAATATAAGGGAAATATATAAGAGTCACCAGTACTTTTTGGTAGCTGGATAAAGGTTCTCCCAGCCTTAATGTATAGAAGTTTTGTAGGAACACCTGCTTTATATTCTCTGCATTTGCTTATTCTTCTGTTGCTTTTATAATATAGGACTACAATTTCGGTCTTTCATAAATTGTTACGTTCTAGTCATCATACCTTTAGTACTTTTTCATTTTCTCCTAGAATGGAGAATGGTGTTTTGGGAAATGCCCTGGAAGGTGTGCATGTGGAAGAAGAGGAAGGAGAAAAAACAGAAGAAGAATCTCTGGTAGAAAATAATGATAACGTGGATGGTATGTGGAGATGCAGCATATGTTTCTGTGTGCACGTGACAGATAGGCTCTCCCTGTCCCGGGTCATCTGTAAGATGCCGGGGAGATAACCTGCATCAGGTGGAGACTTCAGTGGAAGTTGCTGATTACATAAAGTGATTATTGGTTTTTTGTTTTGTTTTCTTGAGAGGATAACTTGTTTTTTAAAAACTCTGTGCCACTCGGTTATTTTAATAGCAGTGCTTTCAGAGCTCTTTTACATTTTTTGTGTATCAGAAATTTAAATGTTGATTTCTATGCTGAGTTTGGCCAATCAGATGGAGGTCTATAAAGTTTAGAGGAGAATGTAAAGCTTGGCATCTCTACCTAATTGATATTCAGAATGCTCAAGTAAGCTAATTTAGGGAGCTTGGGTTTCTTTCGCAATAAGTTGCACTGCTAGATGCACTGCTAGATGGGACTTTACCTTTGCTTTTCTTAAAGGGGCAGATAATTTGTTAGGCCATCTGCTAAAACTTAAGCCAGGCTGTTTGAAGGGTTTAAAGGGAATGTGTTTTTAGTTTCCATTTATGCCTTTATCATTAAACTCGAAGACATGTTTATGCTTCATGTTCTTTAACCATGTAGAGGAAGCAAGGGAAGAGTTGAGAGAACAGGTTTATGACGCCATGGGAGAAAAAGAAGCAAAAAAAAAGGAAGACAAGTCTCTGGTAAAGCCTGAAATTGATAAAGAACAGGAGACTGAGATGGAGAAGGGTGAAAGAGAAGATATGGATGTAAGTGAGCCTGCAGAGTTACTACAGGAAAAAGTTGAGGCAACTCCAGATCACTTAACTGAAAACACTGAAAAGGCAAAAGGAGTAGCAGCATCAGAAGGACTGATTGAAGCTGAGGTCATTGCTGAGAAGCCAGAAAACGAAACACCTGATGTTGAGGAAGGAAAATCAGTTTCTGTAACAGAAATCCAAGAAGAGTACAGAGAAAAAGGCGGTCAGGAGAAACAGGAAGAAGTAATTGTGAACCTAGAGGAGAAGCCAAAAGAAGCTTCAGAAGAGCAGCCTACTGTGACTGTAGAAAATCTGGCCACTGCAGTGGAGGTAGAAGCAGAGCCTATAGATTCAACAATCAAGCCAGTGGATGTGGGTGGGGATGAGCCAAAGGAGCAGGTAGCTGCCTCTAAAAATGATCCAGGTAAAGCTGTTCCTGAGCAGTTGGTAGGGCAAGAAATGCCTCCTGCTGAAGAGTCAGCAGAGTTGACAACAGAGGCTGCAAAAGATGGGTCACAAGCCTCTGAGAAGCCTGGGCAGGAAGCCCAAGTTCTCTCTAAGGATGGTACAGTCAGTGGACTGTCAGCTGCAGGAGATCAGACTCTTGAATCAGAGACTAATGCAGAAGGATTAACAGAAATAAAAGCTGGCTCAGGACTAGAAGAGGGCAGGGCAGAGTTGGTTCCTAACCAGGAGGAGACTAAGCTGTCTCCAGAAGAATCTGGGGCAGCTGGAAATGGGTTTGAGACCAAGGTAGCCCAGGGGGCTACTGAGAAATCCCCTGAAGACAAAGTTAAGATAACTGCTAATGAAGAAACAGAAGAGAGAGAAGAACAGATGAAAGAGGGTGAAGGTAACCGGGATATGCAAGACCTGCAGTGGGTGGAGTACATTCTGAATTTGACTCACTAATCATGGGTAAAAGTCAGCCTTCCATTCAGGATTTTCCGTCTGCCTTTGGATTAGGAAAGGGCTAAATGAAAATGGGGGTAGTTTATAAAGGTTGTGATAAGTTGAGCAAGTTAAATCAAAAGTCTTCTTTAGCTGGCTTATAAACTAACGCTTTTACTAACTGCAAAATAGGCCTTCTTTGATTTCTGAGACTTGGCTAGCTATTAGTAACTTGTACCATACTAGCCAGTAAAGCTGGATGGGGTGGGGTCAGTAGGGAAATAGTGGGCTAGGCTGGCAGAGAATGCTGAATGGATGTTCACTTGCATGCCTCTGAATTGTTTTACTTGCTGTTTACATGGTTCCTTTTTTCTGCTTTAGGAAGCAGGATTAGAGCAGTAGAATCCACTGAACTGGTACACTTAAGCAGTCATGCCATTTAAATTCAAGTTCACTCTTGAGGGCTATATTACCAGAGTGAAGGAATTCTGGTTACCATATTTAATTTTAGTCTTCAGAATTACTTAAAGACTATTCACATTCGTTAGAAATTAGACCCTTCCAAAAGATAACAAAAACTTCATTGGCCTTCTTGCTACTTTCTCCCTTCATGCTTGCTTTGGTGTCCATCTGAAATTTTTGTTACTTAAACATTATTTAAGTGAGTTTTTATAGTATTATTTAGTCTACTTTTGATTCAACTTAACCAACATTTATAAGCCTCTAATTAGTAATTATATAATTGGCACATCTGGATTAAGTTGTACTATGATTTGAGGATTCTACTGCCTGTAAGGTTCATCTAACATGGGTATTAACCACAAATGTATACCAATTAATCATATAATTGATAGGCTAAGATTTTTAAAGACTCATTAACAATATTTATAGCTCATTCTGATAAACTACCTATGTGCAGGTCCTTGCACTTCAGCCAGCATAAGCATGGTAATCAGAAGTTAATTTGGCTCTAAATGGTAGCACCATTGGACTGTTCATGGGCTTTAGAAGTTCTTTAAGGAAAAGCACAGAACTGAATTTCTCAATTTTTAAATACTCCCATGTCTTGATCTTTAATGGTAGTGAGCAAAAATAGTAAAAAGCACTGCTGGCTCTTAAAGTTGGACTTTGAGTTGTAAGCTACAGTAGAGATATCATATTTCTCCACAGTTTGTTCAAAAAGTATTCAGTTGGATCATAAGTAACCTGTTAAGAGCTCTCCCATACATACATATCTCTTATTCTAAAATAATGCTATGTACTAAGTGTTACTTAAGTTGTAGAGGAAATTGAGGCTTAGGGTTGCATTAATTGATTAGGGTCAAACAGTATAAGTCATAGTACTGGAATCCAACCCTAGATCTGACTTGCATGTATTGTTCTTCCCAAGCAGCCTCATTCTGAGGAAAGTAACTTTTATCTTCTCCCTTAACCACCTCTTATCAGAAATTTATGTAACAGCCAGGACCGGTTTGGCTCAATAGATAGAGCGTCATCTTGGGGACTGAAGGGCCCCTGGTTCAATTTCGGTCAAGGACATGTACCTTGGTTGCGGGCATATCCCCAATAGGGGGTGTGCAAGAGGCAGCTGATCGATGACTCTCTCTCATTGATGTTTCTAACTCTATCTCTCTCCCTTCCTCTCTGTACAAAAATCAACAAAATATATTAAAAAAAGAAATTTATGTAACAGCACTATTGCAAAAATCTTGTGGTTTTCTCTTAAGACTCCATTTCTTATCACCTCTTGAGTTGTGCATATCCCTCATAAAGAATATTGGTCTGGTGTCACTTCTGATGCCATGCTAGATAGGATTGGTGTGTTAATGGAGTTTTAATATTGGAGGCATGAAGCTTGGCCACACTCAGATGGTCAGCCTGTAGTGATCATCTCACTTTATCTTGTGAGAATGCTAGAACAGCTGGAGAATCAGATTGCCTTTACTTTGCCTTTAGATACAAGAGCAGAAAAATGGTATAAAATAGTGTCTCCCTTTTCTCAGAAAGATGACAGCCATACCACAAGGTTCCATTTTCAGAGAATCTTGGAAAATATGTTAACGGCTCTCTGATGAACATCAGGTCATTTCTATTAATACCTGGGTATTGGTTACCAGGTTGGAAAGTGCCTTAAAGTAATGGCTTTCTTATTAACCTAACTTCCTCTCCATCATTTCATGATTCCTTGAGGAAAAACCGATATTTTTCTCGCTGTTGTAAGAATTGTAATTTTAAAATTTAATATAAAACTTGGGGAAAAATAAGATATATTCTAGATGTCACCTTCTAACATTCTGGTATGAATAGGAACAGATACCAGATTATTTTTTAAAATATATATTTTATTGATTTTTTTTTTTTATTTACAGAGAGGAAGAGAGAGGGATAGAGTCAGAAATATGAAGAGAAATCAGCTGCCTCCTGCACAACCCCCACCGGGGATGTGCCCACAACCAAGGTACATGCCCTTGAACAAAACCGGACCTGGGACCCTTTAGTCTGCAGGCCGACGCTCTATCCACTGAGCCAGATTGATTTCGGCCAGATATCAGATTATTGAGGACATATAGAACAAATATTTTGCCATTTTTTCCCCTGCAAATTGATAAGATAAAATCTGTTAAGAGGCTACATTGATACTTATAACCTGTCATTACATAATCTATTAGAAGACAGACTTCATTGTTAAGTCAATAAAATGACTCATCTAGTTTAACATGAGGGAACTAAGTACACAAACAACCTGGAAATTTGGTATGGAAAAATATGCTGTATGGTGATGGGTATTTGTATTTCAAAAGTACCAAATTAGCCCTGACCAGGTTGCTCAGTTAGAGTATCATCCCAATATGCTGAGGTTGCAGGTTCAATTCCTGGTTAGGGCACATAAGCAGCAAATTAATAAGTGGAGCAACAAATCAGTGTTTCCCTTTCCTCTCTAAAATCAATTCATTTCTATACTTACACTGGAGGCCTGGTGCACAAAATTCATGCAAGAGTAGGCCTTCCTTCCCCCGTGCCGATACCAACTTCCCTCTGGCACCCAGAACCCAGGCTTCCCTCATGGCCCTGTACAGATACTATCTTTTTATTAGTATAGATTCTCACAGTAGGTTGCTAGGAAACAATATTTGAGCTCCTTTACTGGTATTAACACTATTAGTGAAAGATATAAGAGGTGGTAACACATTATACATAATTTATGAATTGTTTGTTACCCCAAAAAGCCCATTTTAAACACATGGCATTGTGAACTTTACATGCTGTGTAGAGCTAATTATTAGCAGTCCTTATAGGTTATTGACCTGTGAGTGTATGTCAAGAAGGTAAAATGTGTCAGTATGGCTGTAAATTTTAACATGTTCCTGGAGTTAAATAAATGGTTGTAGTACTTTTCACTCATTCTGTATATGCTAAAGCTGGCTGGAGTCTGTGGCATGCTCATTGGTGAGAGTTGGTAAAGGCTATGCTTTTCTCTCCACAGCTCCATTGTGGAAAAGCTAGTCTGTTCAGTATTCTTGCTCTGAATGAACTATAGAATTTAACTTTTTGTATTTTCTCAGCTTTTTAGTAGTATTAGCTAAAAAGGAGCTTAAAAATGCTAGGAGCACTGTCTGAAGATGCCTCCAAACTGCTTCTGGCTGAGTAGATGGGACCTGTGCTATTGAACAAGAGGCAGTAGCTAATCTGTCTTCATCTTCTGTATTATCTAAATCAGGGGTGGGGAACCTTTTTTTTTTTTTTTTCTGCCAAGGGCCATTATTAACAACATTTTGCTTAATATAATTCACTTAATATAAATTTATGTTGCTATAAAAAAATACTAATTTATTGAGTTTCTAGTCCTGCCTGCAGCTTCCTTGGCAAGGCCAGATCAAGTGATTTCTGAGGCCTTATACTGGCCCACAGGCCGGACCTTTCTCGCCCCTGATCTAGATCCACTTTTAGAAAATAAACATTTAGCATTTGATTGTTGGAGGTCTGAACTGTAGACACTATAAGATAACACTTGAATTAGACTGTAACCATTGGCCTTACTTAAATCAGCCAGTTCAAATATTGGCTGCTTTGGCTTAGCATTTGGCCTGTCCTATCCCAGAATATAGGTTATTTCACAGATGCTTATTGGAATCTCTGACTAGTCAAAAGATAACGTAGTATTCTCAATACTGAGGAATTTTTGTTTGCAGAAACTGAGGGCTCAGAAGAAGAGGATAAAGAAAATGACAAGGCTGAAGAAACACCAAATGATTCAGTTCTTGAAAACAAGGTAATCATTTGCTCAATATGTTTTGCTTCCTTGCGGTAGAGATGTAGTTTTACTAGTTAGTATATGTGTGAGTATTCATGTCTAGACATCCTTTTGATTCCATGGGGTCCTGTCTATGAGGACAGGCCCAGTATCTCATTGTTAAGACCCACATTGTAAGTTTTAGGGAAAAGTCTGAATTTCGAATCCTATGTCAGGTTTTTATTAAGCCGTACTAAAATATATATGTTTGTTTCAAGATACTTATCTTTGTGCTTCTGCCTAATACCAATGATTTGTATATACTTTAGTCTCTTCAAGAAAATGAAGAGGAGGAGATTGGGAACCTAGAGCTTGCCTGGGATATGCTGGATTTAGCAAAGATCATTTTTAAAAGGTAAAACTTGTGGTCCTTCTTGACTCAGGTTGGGAGGTTAGTGGTTGAAAATAGAACCCAGTTGTGGTTGGACAAATGCTATTATGGTTTCTGATCATATTTCCTCTTTTTAGGCAAGAAACTAAAGAAGCTCAGCTTTATGCTGCACAGGCACATCTTAAACTTGGAGAAGTTAGTGTTGAATCTGGTAATACATCTTCCATTTTACTCTTAAAATCAATAAAATATATTTAAAAAGTATGGGCAGTAGATTGTGGGTTTTTTTTGTTTTGTTTTTCTTTCTTTTTTTTTTTTTTTTTTAATATATTTTATTGATTCTTTTACAGAGAGGAAGGGAGAGAGATAGAGAGAAACATTGACCAGCTGCCTCTTGCACACCCCATACTGGGGATGTGCCCGGAACCAATGTGCATGCCCTTGACCGGAATCAAACCTGGGACCTTTCAGTCCGCAGATCAATGCTCTACCACTGAGCCAAACTGGTTTTGGCTGGGGAGTTGGTTTTAAAAGGACAGTAGGTTTGGGTTCCCCATAGTCCCTAGAACAGTGAATAGTCTTTCCTAAATGTCACTCTATCTGAAAGTCTTAGTCGTTTTGTTGTTGTTTTGTTTTTTATGTATTTTTTAAAATATATTTTATTGATTTTTTTTTTACAGAGAGAAAGAGAGAGGAATAGAGAGTTAGAAATATCGATGAGAGAGAATCATCGATCAGCTGCCTCTTGCACAACCCCTACTGGGATGTACCGCAACCAAGGTACATGCCCTTGACCGGAATCGAACCTGGGACCTTTCAGTCCGCAGGCCCACGCTTTATCCACTGAGCCAAAAAGGTTTCGGCCATTTTGATGTTTTTTTATACTCAAGGGTCATGAAATGTAAATTGGGGTGGGGGGCATACTTTCAGAATGGTCTAAAATTTAGAAGTACTATAGTATTAATACTGTTCATTTTCTTGCTATTGTTTTTCTCTTCATTAGAGAATTATGTCCAAGCTGTGGAGGAATTCCAGGCTTGCCTAAACCTTCAAGAGCAGTACCTGGAAGCCCATGACCGTCTCCTTGCAGAGACCCACTACCAGTTGGGCTTGGCCTATGGGTACAACTCTCAGTATGACGAGGCAGTGGCACAGTTCGGCAAATCTATTGAAGTCATTGAGAAGAGAATGGGTGAGTGAGCATCACCTGTTTTCACAATGATTTTGGTGGATCCAGTAATTGACAAGGTAAAAGGAAATCTTTTTGTGGTAATTTACTGATCACTTCAACCTTTGTAGCTGTACTAGATGAGAAGATGAAGGAGGCTGAAGGATCCCGGACTGAATATGAGAAAGAAATTGAGGAGCTGAAGGAACTGCTACCTGAAATTAGAGAGAAGATAGAAGATGCAAAGGAGTCCCAGCATAGTGGGAATGTAGCTGAATTGGCTCTGAAAGCAACTCTGGTTGGTTTGGTGTCCTTTTCAAGTTTTGATAATATCTATATATACAGAAAGCCAGCGACCAGAACACCGGAACTACCAGTCGCTATGACACCCACTTCAGCCATTGAACTGGCTGGATCAGAGTGTGAGGCCAGCTGGCCAATATCCTGCAGCCTTTCCCTGCACCTCCCTTTTAGCCCCTCCCCCCCCGACCAGCCCACTCCTGATGGCCCCCCATCCCAATAGAGAGCAGGGCTGGCCGACCAACCTCCTGTAGCCCCTCAGGGCCCTTACCACCCTGATCAGGGGCAGGGTCAGCCAGCCAATCACCTAAGCTGGCCTGGTTCTGATGGGGTGGGCTGGCCAACCTCCAGCTATCTCCCCCTCCCAACAGGCCAAACCCCACCCATGCACGAATTCGTACATTGGGCCTCTAGCGTTCAATATGGTTGAAGGCATTCTGTTGGCTAGGAATCTTAGGTATAGCATGGTTTCCAGGGAGTTGGAAGTCGGAGGGAACGTGAGAACTTGTCTACATATTCCTATCCGGTAGTATGATGCTTAAGACAGTACACTGTGGAACCAGATTGCGTTTGACTCCTATCTTTGCCATTTACTATACGTGACCATGAGTGTTTACTTTTCTTTGCCTTAGTTGTCTCATGTGTAAAATGGGGATGAAAATAGTACCCGTGAAAATATTTCTAATGGAGCCAGTTTTGGCTCCCCATTAATTTTTAGAGAGAGATAAACATTGATGTGAGAGAGATACATTGGTCTATTGCCTCTTGCCCACTCCCCTGCAACCCAGGTATATGCCCTTGGCTGGGAATCAAACCCTATGACTTCTATATGTGATCTTTGCACATGGCAAGGAGAAGAGTGTTAAAGAAGTGTCTTTTTAAAAAACATTAAACACGCTGAAACCGGTTTGGCTCAGTGGTAGAGCGTCTGTCTGTGGACTGAAAGGTCCCAGGTTCAATTCCGGTCAAGGGCATGTACATTGGTTGCAGGCACATCCCCAGTGGGGGGTGTGCAGGAGGCGGCTGGTCGTTTCTCTCTCATCGGCGTTTCTAGCTCTCTATCTTTCTCCCTTCCTCTCTGTAAAAAATCAATAAAAAATATATTTTAAAAAAACACACATTTGTTGAAGACTTCGGGTTGTAACATATTTACATTTCTTAGTAATCTTGATGGCTTTGAATTTTGTAGACAACAGGAAAACGGGGGAGTCCTTTTTCTCATCATGTGTAGTCATGACATTTGCTTTAATGGTTAAAAGGAATCAGTGTGCCAAGCCTGCCAGGGCTTGGTTTAATTTCAACACTCTGCCTGTGTACCCCAGGTTGGGTCTGGCGGGCATAGGTAGAGGGGGTAGACAACGTAGCTGCTATATGGAGGCCACTATTATTTGAAGTTTTAATCGGTTGCTTTGATGGTGGGTACCTGTTGTAGGACTGTGGGTGGCCCGATGGCTTTTATCCTGGGACCCACTGCAGTTTGTCATCTTCACAGGTAGAGAGCGCTACTTCAGGTTTCACTCCTAGTGTAGGAGGCTCTTCAGTCTCCATGGTGAGTATTCAGGTTTGTTGTTTTTTGTTTTGCTTGTCTTTTTAATATTAGACCTCACTCTTTGTCTCATGTAGGTATTCATTGCTAACCAAGGCTTCCTTTTTGTCAGATTGCCAGTAGAAAGTCAGCAGATGGTGCTTCCTCGTCAAATTGTGTGACTGATATTTCCCACCTTGTCAGAAAGAAGGTAAATTTACATGTGATCATTTCTTTTCTTTTTCTTTTTTTTTTTTTTCCTCCCAAATACACAAGGAATACCTTTCCTGCTGCAAAGTTATTGCAAAGGTGGTAAGGATTTGCAAGTAAAAATAGTTTTCATCCCTATCCACGTAGCTCAGTTGGTTAAAGTGTCATCCCACTGTGCCAGGATTGCTACCGTGTTTTCCCGAAAATAAGACCTACTTACAGGTTTCCTTCTGAGTGAAATATAAGGCATCCCCCCGAAAATAAAGCCCCCCTAGGCTAAACATGAGAGATTTGGTCCACTGATTCTGAAAGAAATGGAGTCACAAGAAATTCACCAGGAAATTCAGGAATTGGATTGTTATGATGATGTTCCAGAAGATGATGACATGATTGTCATTGAATAAACGAGTAAATTCTTGATACTGTAGGATTCACAGTTTGTCTGGTTTGTGTTGACAACTACCGTACCGTATACAGGTAATAAATTTCCTTTATTTTCATTTAACAATAAATGTGTACCGTATTCTTCTTCATGGAAAAATAAGACATCCCCTGAAAATAAGACCTAGCACATCTTTGGGAGCAAAAAATAATATAAGACACTGTCTTATTTTCGGGGACACAGGGTAATTCAGTCCCCAGTCAGGGCATTTTCAAGAATCAACCAAAGAATGATAAATAGGTCAATACAAATCGATGTTTCTCTCTTTCCTTCTCTTTAAAGTCAAATTTTGAAGAGCTATTTTCCCCTTGTGTGCTCCTTAAAGCAGACCTCACCTGCCCAAGGATTCCGCAGGAAGGCTGTTGAGGAGCAGTGGTCAGGTTGGCCCTGTTAGGAAGCTGGCAGGTTTTCTTTCAAGTTATTTAGTAGCAGACCTTCGTAAGTCTGACTTTTGCCTTTGATTGCAATAGTTTTCTCTTGTGAGAAAGTCTTAACTCCTTTATTTCCTTATTCAAATTTAGTATATTAAACTTGTGGTTCGGTTACTGTTCAGATCTACTACTCGCACCCACCCAACCCTTCCATTAGAGAGGCTGAATTGGTATGTTGGGACAGATCAGTTTATTCTGCTTTACTTCCTGTGGGTTGAGAAAGACCCTAAGAACTATGACTCCTGTTTGGGATCTTTGCACTTAGAAAGGAGAGGGGTGTTAAAAAAAATGTCCTTTTAAAAACATTGAACACATTTGTTGAAGACTTCGCAATTATATCTTTAGCGGAAACCAGAGGAAGAGAGTCCCCGGAAAGATGATTCAAAGAAAGCCAAGCAAGAGCCGGAGGTGAATGGAGGCAGCGGAGATGCAGTCTCCAGTGGAAATGAAGTTTCTGAAAACATGGAGGAGGAGGTGGGCAGTTAAAGCAGGGCTTGGACTCTTGCCTCATTTCCCCTTGTGCTCAGGGCCTGGGGAAACCAGTCCTCCCAGTGCATGTTCCCCACCTTGAACCTGTTTGGATTGCTTGAGTGTAACCTTCATAAAAACAATGAGGTTATTCAGGAAGCAGTTTGGTATGGACTATAGGACATCTCACTGGCAATGGAACCTATACACTATGAATGTATGCGAAGGCTTAATTGTCAAGACCTCGGGTCATTTCTGCTTGCTTCTTTCCATGTAATGTATGAACATTGGCTCTGTCAGCCCCATTACAGAGAGTTTAAGAAGTTGGATTTATTATTTGTGCATTGCCCTTTTAGTGGGGGAGTAAGGTAGAGTTTAGGGGACTTGTTTTGACTGAGGCTTAGTCGGTTGTATAAGATGGAATGGCTTGAACGAAGGTCACTTATGCCCAGGCTCCCTGTTTATCTTGCAGGCTGAGAATCAGGCTGACAGCCGGGCAGCAATGGAGGGGACAGTGGAGGCTGCAGCTACAGTTGAAAGCACTGCATGTTAAGAGGGAAAAGAGCCTTCCTCCCAAGGGAAAGTGTTTTTGTATATAATGTATTTTTTCACTTTTGGGGCATTTTGTATAACTTCAATAAAGATTGTATGCAAAGGTTGAGGCTTTGATGGCTTTTTTCTTACATAACTGAATCTGTGCCTTGAAGCACATTGGTTTTATATAGTGACTAAAAGTACTCCCCCCCCCCTTTTTGTTGAATGTTCTAATCCAAATTTCTATCTATTTAATGTAAATTTGATCAAATCAAGTGTGGCTGCTGGCCCAATGGTGCTATATTTTTTCCATATTAAATACTTGACAGCACGCAGCTGTCCTGCAACCTTTCGGTGGTGCTGTCCCTGGATGGGGGCTACAAAAACAAGACTTGGTGACAATCTTCCTCTTTGGTGCTGACACTGTGTGATGGACCCTGTGAGCTGATATCAGTCTCTATGCCAGGCCTTGTATAGTACCTGGCACCTGTCTTTTATTCCCCTACTCCAACGAGGGCCATAATCCTGTCCTGGGGGGGGAAACTTTGATGAAAACTTGGGGGCATGCTATTGAGGAAAACTGGTATGTTGCTTGTAGAAAATTGAGCTCTCTGAACTGAAAATGGCTAAGGGACTGACCATGATGGACACTTTGGGTGTGGTTGGAAGAATGTGGGGAGGCTGGCTGGTTGAGTTATATTATTTTCTGTACAGAAAGTTTGAACTATATCAACATTTGGAATTGTTACCCATCTGCAGTTTTGACTTTTAAAATAAAGATGATAGAAAGAAAAAAAAATTACTCCTGGTCTGGACTTATTTTTAAAGATCTTAGAGTGGGATCCTGGGCTTTCTGGACCATTTCTGTGTGGCATTATGGTTGAAAGGCAGTAACTCTGCTTGGGGATCTAGTACTAAGCCATCCCATTTAGGGTCCTCAGTTTTTTGTGTTTTTTGTTTTGTTTTTTTGTTTGTTTTTTTTTTTTAATGTATTTTATTGATTTTATACAGAGAGGAAGGGAGAGAGATAGTTAGAAACTTCAATGAGAGAGTCATCGATCAGCCGCCTCCTGCACACCCCCTACCGCCTCCTGCACACCCCACAACCAAGGTACATGCCCTTTACCGGGATCGAACCCGGGACCCCTCAATCCCCAAGCCAACGCTCTATCCATTGAGCCAAACCAGTTCCCTGTTTTTTGTTTTTTTAATAGATTTTATTGATTTTTCACAGAGAGGAAGAGAGAGCGAGAGAGCTAGAAACATCGATGAGAGAGACATCGACCAGCTGCTTCCTGTACATCCCTCACTGGGGATGTGCCCGCAACCAATGTACATGCCCTTGACCTGAGTCGAACCTGGGGGCCTTTCGGTCCGCAGGCCGGCGCTCTATCCACTGAGCCAAACCGGTTCCAGCTAGGGTCCTCAGTTTTGTCCAAGGCACAGTGCTAGTATAAGACTGGCAGAGTTGCATTTGACTCTTAGTTTAAGAACCTGCTTTACACTGGGTACAGTAGATTACAATTTGGTTGCTTAATGTTGGAGGCAGAAGGAGCTCTGCTGACTCTCAAGTAATCCAGTTTTTCTTTTTTCTTTTTTAAATTATTAACCTTGTACATATTTTAACATTGCCCCCCCTCCCAGTTTTTATTTTCTCTAAGTAATAAAATGGCTAGAGAGTTTCTCTGGGCTGTTTATAGTAACCTGTGGCTGAGAATTCAGCCATGAACCTCTATCCTGAAGATTCCTTTCTATTGCAAGTCCTGAAGTGTTTTTGGGTGTGGGGGCACAGGCATGGTGTACTTTACTCCCAGGTTTTTATCTGGTGGACACAGGTCTGGGCCAGGTCCATTATCAAATTGCAGCTAGATTTCTTACTTGACACACCCTACTTGGGAGGAATATTGTGTTTGGGCCATGCCCATGACCCTGTAAGTGTATATATGGCTACAAGATCTGTTGAGAGCCTGCAACATTCCTGGGGGATGTCCTGCAAAACTTAGATTTGAATGAAGTGCTGGTAAAACTGATTTTTAGCAAAATAGCTGTGATTAAAGTCTCCTTCAGTCACCTTTTAAAGAACTTTCCATATACCAGATGATATTGCAAATATCTGACAATATTTAATCCTCTCATCAATCTGTTTTGCAAAAGGAAAACAGGTAAAGAAAGGCCAAATAGTTTTAGCTTTGAGGTGGTAAAGCTATGGTTGGACGTTCTTTTTGTGCTCATCTGCATTTTGCTTCTAGACCCTCAAAACAGTAAAGCTGCAGATCTGGGAATAGGCCTCAATTAGGACCTGTTTCTGTGCATGTTAAGCTATTTATACCCACATTCTGAACTTAGAAAGCCCGAGGGGATGCGTCTAAGCCAGTGGAGCCCAATCCTTCATCTCTACTCTTGACTCTGCTGTCAAGGGGCTCTTCTCCAGGAGGAGGGGGGTCAACAAAGCCAGCTGTTGGTACAAGGGAGTTGGCTTCCAGTGAAGCTGAGCTGGGCACCTGTAGAATGGAGAAGACAGATCTTTAGCCGGTTTACATAGAGGTTAGCACAGGTCTGGAGTTGGAACATCAATCAGCTGCCCCTTGCACACCCAACACTGGGGACGTGCCCGCAACCAATGTACATGCCCTTAACCGAATCAAACCTGGGACCCTTCAGTCCACAGGCCAACACTCTATCCACTGAGCCAAACCTGTCCCGGCTCCTTACCTGTTTTATCCTACTTACCTATTGGATGTGTGAGGGTCAAAAGCTACAGAAAGCATTTGGCACATAGAGGTCAACGAAGGCTGGCTGTTATCCCACCAACCACACCCACGGTGACCCTCGCTCTAGCGGAGCCCTCACCGGAGGTGGATACTGGTACTCGTGGGCACTGGCTGGATTGATCTCTGCCAGTGTTTGGACATCTGCATCTCTTGCATTCACCAGCCGCAGAAAGAGCTCAGCCTGACCTGCCTGTGGAGAGGTGAAATGATTCTGTATTCATGCCTTCGAGCTGACCCAGGCTCCATTCCCACACTCACCTGGGGAATTCCATTCAGCTGCCCAAGGCTAAGGCTGGGATCCCGAGGAAGGACACGAAGTGGGAGACGCCAACGACCACTCAGTACCCTCTGATCCCGGTCAAACAGCGCCAGTGAGGTCCAGGCCTTTGGGTGTGGTGCCCTAGCCCCTGCCAGCCCCTGCCAGGCTTGTAACTCACAGAGCAGGGATAGTGATGGTGAAGGTAGTAGTCTAAAACAATGAAATGAAAAAGGTGTCAGAAGCCAGAACTAGTTCTACTCCCCAGAACTTGGCCTTCAGAGCCAGTAGCCCTGTATACAGATGAAAGAATTTATGGCAAGGAGCACCAAAGTCATCATTCCCACCTACTGACCTGGGTACAGGCTGCCTGCTGGCCAGGATGGCACAGTTGCCCGTGGGCCCAGGAGCTGGAGGAGGGGGCAAACAAAGGGCTGGGGGCAAAGCTGTGGTCCCTCCTGTATCCTGTCCATCTCGGGCCAAGACAGTCATTAGTTGCACCCATGTCCAAGAAGCCTCAAGGCCCCGCAGGAAGTCATAGAAAATGACCAGGCCAGCCCTGGGAACACGGTCTCAGTGAGCCTCCACACACACTCCTCCACCTCCCCCCAGCCCCCTAGTCAGTTCCCCAACACTCGCTGGACCGTAACCAGCAGTGGTGACCAAGTCACAGAATGTCAAAGGAAGGAACAGGCCTCACCCAGGGTCGTAGGGAGCAGGGCCCAGAACGTCAAGTGTGGGCAGGACAAAGTGTGGGCCCAGGCCCAGGTTCCTGGTCGTGGCTCCAGGAAGCTGTGGCTGTGGGGAGGAGTTGAGCTCTCTAGAAAGCTTCCTGGGTACTTAGGCTTCCCCAACTTCACGGAGCAGAGCTGCCCCTCCCCACAGCCCCTGGATCCTCACAGTCTTTCCTGTGCCTCCCAGGAAGAGGGCGCCTGCGGAGTGTGGAAGCGGTGGCGGCAGCGGCGGAGCCACCGGGGGTGGGAGGCATGGCGGCTCTTCCCTTCTCAGGCGTGAGCTGGGATTGGCCACAAATTGTGCTTCTCTGGACCCTAGGTGCAGAGGGAGAGTAGGCAGTTCCTGAGCAGAAAGCAACAAGTCACTGGACTGAGACACCCCTGCCTGGGAGCCAACACCCCCTCACACACACACACACACACACACACACACACACACAGATGGAGCACAAACACACTTCATTCCCCATGCATAGCCAACACCTTCCTCTAGGCCTGGCGTGGGATTGGGATGCTCACTGACCCCAGGGTGCCCGGCCTGCACCCCTCTGCATCTGCAGAGCCAGAATTTCTGCCTCCAGACGCCGGTTTTCGGTCTCCACTGCTAGAAGTTTCCCAGATGTGGAACCTGCCCGTCTTCCTGTGGTGAACAAGTCTGACCTGTCACTTTGACCTCTGGTGATCAGCTTAATCCAGTTCTGAGCACCTCTCGGCCCTTAGGACTCCCCGGAGAGGGTAGACTTCTTCCCTAACAGCCTAGTCACTGCCACAAAGGCCACCCAGGTTTTCTATCTCAGAGCTTTTGCTTAGGGGGTTCCCATGCCACATCCTCCCGCCCTCACCGCCCTTTTCCCCTTCCAAGACTAAGACACCCCCCCCCTTCCGGAAGACCCTCCTGGCTGGCCCCTCCTCTTCACCCCTGCGGGGACGTGACCGTCGAAGCTCCAGGGCATATGTCTCCACTTGCAGCTGCCATATCTGGCCCAGAACGCCGGGGTCCCGACCCCCACCTTGGATATAGGCCTCACGCAGGGCCCTAGTGAATAGGGGACAAGAAGGCAACACCGTCTTTTCCAGACTTCCCAGGGCTTCGCCCAATGCCTGGCCCCGGGCCCGGACCTCACCCAATCTCAGCAGCCAGAGTCCCTGGGTTAGACTGTAGCACCGGCCAACAGAGTTCTGCCCCTTGCAAGGAGTCCGGCCCAGTCCTGGAGCTGGGGGCGACCCACGGGGGGACCTTGTTATGACCCTCACCTGCGGCCCATCGCCCCATCGCCCCATCGCCCCATCCCAACCTCACACGGGCTTTCTTCCCCCAGCTTCCCAACCTGCATCTTGTCCGCGTGCCCCCTTCCCCTCTTCTCTCCCCTTGTTCCCTCTCCCCCTCCCCTCGACTTCCCAAACCCGGCCTGCAGCTGTCCCGGGCGGCCCATCTCACCGGGGCTCAGTCTGTAGCTGCTGGACGCGCGTTCCCAGCACCTGCAGAGCTCCCCTGGCTCTCCCGGCCTCCGCCCGCAGCTCTGCCAGCTCCCGCTCCAGGCCCAACAGGCGGGATCCATCGCCCCGGCTGCGGGCCAGACCTTGGAGGCGACGGTTCAGTTCTAAGGGACCAAGGGACAAGGGGTTCAAGCAACCTCAGACCGAGGGGCGAGTCCTTGGTCCCCCTCCCTGCAATCCCTTTCCCCTCACCTTCCCCGCGGAGCTGCAGGGCCAGGCTCTGGGCCTCTGTCTCTGCCACGCGCACCGTGTGAGTCCGTTGCAGGGCCCGCAGCCGCTCGCTGGGGCTCCCGGCAGCCGCGGAGCTGGGGCCCTGGGTGGAGGCGTTCTCCACGGACTGCCTGGGAATTGCCGTCATCCTGGGTTGCATTTCCTCCAAGTACAGCCGCAGGCCTTGCACCTAGAGATAGCAGCAACCCGCGACCCCCATGTGGGGGCAATCTGACCCTCGCTCTATGGGTTTGGGGAGGATGCTCAGTTTTGAGCCCGTGGGTGGGTAGCACCCAGATTACCTCTTCCGTTAGCTTCCTTAAAGCTGATTTGCCGGCTTCCTGCTCTGGGAAGTCCTGGTGTCCTTGTGACACAACCTGGATACAGCATGTGGGAGGAGGAATCCTGAGGGTCAGGGTGGCTTGAGTACCCCGCCATGGCCGTGGAGGAGGCCCTTACCATGGGACCCGGTGCTTCCGAGGCTTTTGAGGGCCGTGCTCCAAGGGTCACCTCCCGTGTCAAACGGCCAATGCAGAAGCGCTGAGCGTGCGTGGCCAACAGGGCCCAGGAGCGGAAAACCATGTCACAGGATCCACAGGGCAGGAGCCCTGGCTCCCCAGAGTGGGAGGCCATGGAATGGAACCCCTTTCCTGATACCAAGCCAAGACCTGCAGAAGGCAGGACAGAGAGCAGGGGAAAGGGAGGAGAGCACAGAGGAAAAGCCAGGGTTATTGGGTCCACAGGATCACGTTTGTTTGGGGAGGAGCTTTGGCTCCCTGGGCAGCAACGACAGGCCTAGGCAGGTCTGGATGGGTGTGGAAGGCTTGGTCATCTTTGGGAGGAGGCCCTGGCTTGAAAAAATGTCAAAAAGTCTGTTCCACCTCATTGCATGAGATGAGAGAAGCAAGTCTCTAATACTATACCTTGTTTTTTTCTGCCTATATTAATAAAGGGGGATGAACAGCTGCCTCCCTCTAAGCCCTTTTAAAAGGAAAAAAATTAAAATATATATAAAAAATATATATTTTATTGATTTTTTACAGAGAGGAAGGGAGAGGGATAGTTAGAGACATCGATCAGCTGCTTCCTGCACACCCCCTACTGGGGATGTGTCTGCACCAAGGTACATGCCCTTATTTGGAATCGAACCTGGGACCCTTCAGTCCAAAGCTGTATCCATTGAGCCAAACCAGTTAGAGAGGGGGGGGGGGGAATATATATATATATATATTTATAATTTTTGATTTCAGAGAGAGGGAGAGAGATAAAAACATCAATGATGAGATGATTGAGCCTGAAAACCGGGCATGTGCTCTAACAGGGAATTGAACTGTGACTTCCTGGTTCATAGGTCTACACTCAATCACTGAGCCATGCTCACTGGCTGGGCTCTACTGATTTTTTTAAAGAGTGGAAGGGATGAGAGACAGAGAAACATTAATTTGAGAGAGATATATTGAGATAATTTTTTTTATCAATCTTTATTGTTCATATTATTACAAAGATTCCTCATTTCTTCCCCCCTCCACCAGGTTCCCACCCCACCCTCTGCCCCCTCCCCACCCCCCATTGTCCTCATCCATAGGTGCACAGTTTATGTTCAGTCTCTTCCTCCCTCCCTTTCCCTGAGAACAGTCAGTCCACTCCCCTCCCATAAATGGACACATTGTTTAAACATAGCTGCTTGTTGGAATTGGATTACCTGTTCTGGGTGGGAAGGGCTTGTCATTCCCTTTAAAATTAAGGTGTTAGCTTTAAAACCTCTTTTTGGCAAGAGACCTTAAACTTTCAGAACTTTAAATTTTTTAGATAGTACATCAGTTACTTAGCATTTTCTCAAATCAATAATACCTCCACATGCCCAAGGATACACTTCACACAAAAGACATTTCCAAATAGGTCAACCAACCTCATCCAGGCCCCACACAAGACACTCACAGATCAACACCCCAGCGCTATACTAATTCAACACATCCAGATCTAAGCCTTCATCACTTGATTCAGCAGACCCTCAAGTTTCCCAAAAAGTTTCCAGCCGTGTCTGAGAGGCAGCCTTGGGGCGGGGGCAGGCGAGGAGCAAGCTGTTCCGGGCCTGGCCTCTGTTGCTCTGGAACTCTCCATAACCAGCTGCTCTGGGTCTGGCCACTGCTGCTCCCGGCCTGGCTGCTCCCAGCCCAGCTGCTCTGGGCCCGGCTGCTCCGGGCCTGGCTGCTCCCGATTCGGCTGCTCTGGGACCAGCTGATCCAAGCCTGGCTGCTCCCGACCTGGCTGCTCCGGGTTTGGTTGCTGCTGCTCTGGGCCCGGCTGCTCCCAACCCGGCTGCTCTGGGCCCGGCTGCTCTGGGCCTGGCCGCTCCCAACCTGGCTGCTCCGAGCTTGATTGCTGCTGCTCTGGGTCCGGCTGCTCCAGGCCCGGCTGCTCCGGGCCTGGGTGCTCCTCGCCTGGCCACCCTGGGCTTGGCCGCCTCCGCCCCAGGCCTGGCTGCCACTGCCCCAGGTCTGGCTGCTCCGGGACTGGCTGTTGCTGCTCTGGTTCTGGCTGCTGCTGCTCTGGGGCCTGGTTGCTGCTGCTCCGGGCCCAGCTGCCACTGCCTTGTGCCAGGCCACTCTGGGCCTGGCCGCCACCGTTCCAACATTCTGTCTTTTTTTTTAATTTTTATTTTTTTAATTTTTTTAAAAAATATATTTTATTGATTTTGTACAGAGAGGAAGGGAGAGATAGTTAGAAACATCAACGAGAAAGAGTCATCGATCAGCTGCCTCCTGCACATCCCCCACTGGGGACATGCCCGCAACCAAGGCACATGCCCCCGACCAGAATCGAACCCGGGACCCCTCAGTCCCCAAGCCGACGCTCTATCCATTGAGCCAAACCGGTCTCGGCTGTCTTTTTTTTTTTAAATGCATTTATGTTGCAATGTTGGCTGCTGAGTTGAATTCTGACTTAGTCTTCGATTTTTCAAGATCTTCTTTGTATTCTTTCTTAAGTCATTTTACTATCTTTTGCTATAACTTGATTTCTTCACATTGAAAACTTCATCGGTTTCTTCCTCCTTGTCCTGGAAGCTCAGCAGGCTAGTCTGCGGCGCCCCTTTGTTTTCCGCGGCCTCCTGTGCGGCTTCAGCCAGTTGCCAGGGGACGGCGCCGCCCAGGAAGCAGCCCCCAGCCTTGGCTCCGTGGCCCGCGCTCAGCGGTCGAGGGCCCAGCAGCACTCCCCCCCCCACCCAGGGACCCCGTCGCCCAGCTCCTTGCCGGTGCCCGGCTGGCCAGTGTCCGGCAGCGGCTCCTGCTCATCACGTTCTTCCCATTGTGGAGCTTTTTTCCTCCTTCCCGATAGGGGAGTCCAGCATCAGAGTCAACAGACTGTCCTCTGCGCGTAGTGTGCGTGACTCCGGAGGCTCTGCCTCTCGCCGTTCCCCTGGGACTCCACCTCATAGCCCCGTCTCCCTCTGCTGGAGCCTGGGTCCCCAGGGATTGGCCTAGAACTGGGGTTCAGAGCAGTCAGGAGTGGGGCTCAGCCAGGGCAATCCAGCATCAGAGTCAACATTCCGTCCTCTGCGCTCAATGTGCGCGACTCTGGGGGCTCAGCTTTTCGCTGCTCCCCTGGGATTCCGCCTCACAGCCCCGTCTCCCTCTGCCTGAGCCTGAGTCCCCAGGGTCTGACCCAGAACTGGGGCTCAGCGCTGCCAATTCTGGGGTTCAGCCCAGTCGGGGCTTTTATTTCCTTCCTGCTAGGGAACGCCAGGCAGGCCCCCAGCCTTCTCCTTTCCGGCTCCGTTCTCTCCATGCGCGTGTGCGCGTGCAGCATGTCTCCGTACCTTAGGCTTTTTCATCTCCTCTGATTTTCCTTCTGGTTTGCTCTTTCCTTCTTGTTGTAGAATTTTCAGTCAGTCGACTACCTGTAGCTCTGGGCAATGTCCATTTTATATTTTAGTTGCATTCCATTGAAATTGTTGTATGCAGCTGTGGTTAGGTGTTTACCTGAGCAGCCATCTTGGATCCTCCTCCTATATTGAGATAATTTTAAAAATCTAGCTTTTTTCATAGCAACATAAATTTATATTAAGTGAATGATGTTATAAATATCCAAATGGCCCTTGGCAGAAAAAAAAGTTCCCCACCCCTACTGCACAGTATGTCCAAAACATGAGATTAAATCAAGCCAAGGAAATATTCAAGAGATGAGGCTGCTGCCCGCATAACACAGCATAGTGCATCACAGCAAACTTGTACGTAGAAAGAGCACACTCTAAAACAATAAAAAGTAAATACATAAACCAATAAGTATTATCAAGCATTATGTAGGGTATAATGGTATGTATTATACTTTTATACAAGTGGCAGGGCGGGTTTGTTTATACCAGCACCACCACAAACTTATAAGTAATGCATTGTGCTTATGATGGCTATGTCACTAGGTGATAGTTTTTTTTTTTTTAGCTCTATTTTAATCTTACTAGTTGCCTGATGCACAGATTTGGGCACATTGAAAGGAAATATTTTTATTAAGGTATTACATGTATACATATCTTATCATTGCTCCCCCACCCTACTCCCATACATGCCCCCCTAATGTTTTGCATCTGTTGTGTTTTTTTTTAATAATTTATTTTTAAAAAATATATTTTATTGATTTTTCAGAGAGGAAGGGAAAAGGATAGAGAGCTAGAAATTGATGAGAGAGAATCATCAACCAGCTGCCTCCTGCACACCCCCTACTGGGGATGTGCTCGCAACCAATGTACATGCCCTTGACCGGAATCGAACCTGGGACCTTTCAGACCGCAGACTGACACTCTATCCACTGAGCCAAACCGGTTTCGACCCGTTGCTTATTCTTATATGCAGGCATATAAGTCCTTCGGTTGATCTCTTATCTCCCCAACCTCTCCCTAACCTTCCCGATAACAGGAAATTATAAGAAACATTTTAATATCATTATTTGCCCTTTATGATCCACAATGACAGATCAAAACACATATGTGATTGGCACCAGCAAAAGCTTTGTATGTATCTCAAATGTGCAAGTCAACTTAGCTTTTTATTTAAAATATATTTTATTTTTAAAAAAAATTTATTATATTGATTTAAAAAATATATTTTGATTTTTTACAGAGAGGAAGAGAGAGGGATAGTTAGAAACATCAGTGAGAGAGAATCCTTGATCAGCTGCCTCTTGCACAACCCCTACTGGGGATGTGCCCACAACCAAGGTACATGCCCTTGACTGGAATTGAACCTGGGATCCTTCAGTCTGCAGGCCGACGCTCTACCCACTGAGCCAAATCGGTTTCAGCTATTTTATTGATTTTCTTACAGAGAGGAAGGGAGAAGGATAGAGCGCTAGAAACATTGATGAGAGAGAATCATCGACCAGCTGCCTCTTGCACACCCCCTACCGGGGATGTGCCCGCAACCAAGGTACATGCTCTTGACTGGAATCGAACCTGGAACCTTTCAGTCCGCAGACCGACGCTCTACCACTGAGCCAAACCGGCTTCAGCAAAGGGTAAAATATTTAACTGCAGCAGTGTTTGACTATATTCTGTGCAGTGAGAAACCTGAAGTAATTTTCAAGTTCCACCAGTTCTTTCCAGTTTGGTTAAGTTTCTAATTCTCTGTTTTCCTGTTAATGAAAGTCTCCTCTCTACCTACTCCAGGACTTCTGTGAGGATCAAATGAGATGAAGCATGGGGAAAAGCTTCACAAACATTTGGTTAAACTGTAAAATGTTTGCACCTGGCTATAAAGCACGTTGTGTTCTTAGGCTGAAGAAACTCCAAGGAGGGTAAGTTACGAGGGAGAGGAAGCTGGCTGTTGTTACATAACATCATTACCGGGTGCCCACAGTGACCGTTTCTGGGCTGGGCTGTGGACCCCATTTTGTGACACGGGGTCTTGGCAGTGTTAGCTGATTTGGTGGGGTGTAGCTCCAGGGTAGTGGGGCCTTCCACTTGGGGGAAGGTGTTGGTTACTCAGCACCAGGTCAATGGTCTTTTATTTTTCAATGGCCAGTGTGCATCATGGCAGCTCCTGTGTTGAGCTTCTGCCCCTGGTGGTCACTATATATCATAGCTACTGGTCAGATGGACACTTAGCCTTTTATATATAGATGGGACCACTGTTGTATATTTGGCATTTTAACAGGAACATCATATGTGGTGCATGAATGAATTTCATTGATTCTAAGATGCACATTTTTAAACACTGGGATCAGCCGAAACCAGTATGGCTCAGTGGATAGAGCATCAGCCTGCGGACTGAAAGGTCCTGGGTTCGATTCCGGTCAAGGGCATGTACCTTGGTTGAGGCACATCCCCATTAGGGGATATGCAAGAGGCAGCTGATCAATGTTTCTCTCTCACGGATGTTTCTAGCTTTCTATTCCTCTCTGTAAAAACGCAATAAAATATATTTAACAACTAAAAAAATAAAACACTGGGATCAGATCTCAGGAGTGTCGCAATTTGGCAATCTTTCTTAGTGCATAAAAAATGTCTTAAAATATAGATTCCATGAAATACAATATAATTCTTCCTGCTCTATCTCAACCACTATTTCCATAACTTGCACATGGTCTGTTTATACCAGTAGCAGAAGAGACAAGTACAGAAAGGCAGATATGGTCTCTGCCTTCCCAACCTTAGAATCTAGCAAATGTCATTCTGATCTGTCTCTAACGTGAGCCCCACCTGGAGCCCACACTTTGTCAGTTATCCTTCTAACATGAATCAGACGTTCCTCTTCTGTTGTCGCCCATCTTGGACTTCTATATCCATTAGGGACCATGTACTGTGGGGACTGCCCAAGAATGGCAATAAGTATCTGTTGTTTAACTTCTGCCTGTCCATCATATCTTGGCCTAAACTTTCATTAAAAAAATTTTTTTTTCTTCTTTTTATTTAGCCCAGCCAGCATGGCTCAGTGGTTGAGCACTGACCTATGAACCAGGAGTTCATGGTTTGATTCCCTTGCCTAGATTGCAAGCTTGATCCCCAGGGTGGAACGTGCAGAAGGCAGGAGATCAATGATTCCCTCTCATCATTTTTGTTTTTATCCCTCTCTCCCTTTCCTCTATAATGAAAAATATATACTTTTTTGTTAATACTCGATATTTTCCCATTGACTTTTAGGGAGAGTGGGACAGACAGAAAAATATCCATGAGAAACACATTGACTGGTTGCCTCCTGCGTGAGCCCTGACCATGCCCCGGGCAGGGGAGGAGCCTGCAACCAAGGTACGTGCCCTTGACCAAAATCATACCTGTGACCCTTTGGTCCACAGGCTGATGCTCTATCCACTGAGCCAAACCAGCTGGGGCAGTAAAAATATACATGAAAGCCAAAACCGATTTGGCTCAGTGGATAGAGCTGTCGGCCTGCGGACTGAAGGGTCCCAGATTCGATTCCAGTCAAGGGTATGTACCTGGGTTGTGGGCACATCCCCAGTGGGAGGTGTGCAAGAGGTGGTCGATCGATGATTCTCTCGTTGATGTTTCTCTCTATCCCTCTCCTTTCCTCTCTGTAAAAAAAAAAAAAAAAAAAAAAAAAAAAAAAAAAATATATATATATATATATATATATATATATACACACACACACACACACACACACACACATACATGAAAAAGTATATTTACTTTTGTTAATCCTCATTGAGGATATTTTTTCCATTGGTTTTTAGAGTGGGAGGGTGGGCATTGGAGCAACACACACACACACACACACCAATGTGAGAGATGCATTGATTGGTTGCCTCCCACATGGGCCCCAACCAGGGCAGGGATTGAATCTAACCCAGATGTGTGCCCTTGACCAGAATTGAGTCAGTGAGTGGGCTGACACTCTAACCATTGACACCACCAGCCAGGGATATTCTATTGACTGAAAGGGAGGTAGAGAGAAACATTGATTTGTTGTTCTAACTTCTGCGTTCATTGGTTGATTTAAAAAATACTTGTATTGATTTTTAGAGAGCATGAAACATCAATGGACAGCCTCCTGCACACCCCTATTAGGGCATCAAGCCTGCAAACTGGGCATGTGCCCTGATTGGGCATCTAACCAGAAACCTTTCAGTGCACAGAACGATGCCTAACAAACTGAACCACAACTGATCAGGCTCAATGGTTGATTCTTGTATGTGTCCTGACTGGGAATAAAATATATAACCTTTGGCATATGGGGATGATGCTCTAACCAACTGAGCTACCTGGCCAGGGTTAAATTTTCATTTTTAACGTAACTGTGTCTTCTCTTCCCTACAGTTCTGGGTTCTCCTTGTATGACTCAGAGCCTTGAATAATACAAGAACCTGGGGAGTATGTGTTGAATGAAAAAAATCTGTCTCCTCCACTGGTCACCCAGCCAGCATTGGCTCAAACCCTTTCCCACAGGTCTTAATTTGCAGGAAAAATGAGGCACAGGCCTTCCTTAATATCCATACATTGGTAAGTACATGGGCAGCGAATAACAGTTTCTGGAAATAAACATGGGTTTCTGATTTTATTACTGTTAATTTTATTGCACAGGTTTTTCAAAAAAGTAGCTGCTAAAGGAGAAACAGGTGTGTGTGAATTCAGATGTTCCTCAGACTGCTAGAAGTAGTTCCCTAAAAAAGAAACCACTCAACATAATTTTAAAGAAAATATACTTCTTACACAAGACAATCCAAACTGATGCAAAATATTTATTCCAAGTTAGTTATTTTATGCAGTAGTTTCCCCCTCAAGACCTGTGATAACCACATCTTTTAAATCTGTAAATAATGTTATCAAAATAATCTTAATCTTTGAAATCTCACAAAAATTTATATTTTACAATCCACCCTGAATATCAAGGCCGCAAGAATAACACATTTCCTATATCCAAATATTTTACAGCTGTACCCAAAAAGGAAAAAAAAAAAAAAAGAAACAAACAAAACCCCCCCACATATTCTTGGTTAAGGGCTAACGTTACTCGAGCAGCCAAAAATAAAATAAAATATCCAAATTATTAGCATTAATTTAATACAATTATAACTTCAATAGTCACTTTGTCATTGACAATGATTGCTTGAGCACAGGGGTGAGTGCCCCAAGGGCTGGTGGAAGCTGTTGCTGCAGACCAGTGTCTCCTCCTCTCTGCACTGGCAGCTCCCACTTGTGCATCGCCCCATATATACTGTGTGTGTTTTAAAAATATTTTTCACCACACAAATTTTCTCTACAAAGCAAATAACAGGAAAGAAAAACAACAAAAGCTAAACAAGCCAATCGCTCTCTCTTTGGGATATGATTATTTCCCTTGTGCATGAAATATTCAACAACAACATAAGAAAAGGAAACAATTTTTTTGTATTCTCCGTTAGCACACAAGCTGAGTTTATGGGTCAGATTTAACGGTGAACATTTATGTGCCTACTTCCAGGCATCATCATCTGATGTTTCACTGCTACTGGTTTCTGTGTCTGAATCTTCAAACTCTGCTTTGCACGTGCTTCTCCACGGGGAGAACAGGCTAGAAGTGCGGCTTTGCAAGAAGCCATTCTTCCCAAAGCCATTTCGTCTCAGCTGTGAAAGCATGGGAAACAAAGAAAAACAAAACAAAACATCAATATTGACACAGGGCCCTTGGGAACTGGCCAGCCCGAAATTCAATTCTAGGCAGAATTTAGAGGGAGGCCTTCTGAGAGATGCAAGATCTCTTGGAGTGCTTATCACACTTCAGTGCACCAATGAATAATCTAGGGATCTGTTTAAAATGAAGATTCAGAGTGACTGGGGCAGGGTTTGAGCTTCTGTATTTCTACAAATTCCCAGGTGATGACAATGATAGGGAAACAGAGTTCTGAGTAGCACAGTCTTTTAGTCTATATTTTTGCTTTATAGGACATAATTGGTACTTATGATTTACACACACACACACACACACACACACACACACACACACACACACACACACGGATAGGAGTTCCAAAATATCTGTAGAGATTCCATTGATCTTATCCATCACTGTAAATTCTAAGGTCCGGCAGTATTTTACTCAGAGCAAGAATTCAAGCATTTACTGAATAAATTCAAATTTGGCTTCTTGCCAGAGTACTAGAGGAAGCCCACAGGACTAACAGCACAAGAGGGTGAGCCTGCTTCCCTAGGAACCAAGGGCTTAGTTCCCCCCTTTGGAATACAGTCTTGTGGTTCTGATAAGGGTGAAAGCTTCCAGGATGAGAACACATACTACCTCCTGGAACCTGCTAACCACTGACCTAGTTTTCGTATGCAACACTGCAGACAGCTACTGCTGGGCAGATTTAATGTCCTTTTACATTTTGACTGAAGGCCCGGAGCACAGATTTGTGCACTGGTGGGTCCCTTGGCCTGGCCTGTGGGGATTGGGCCAAAACCAACTCTTCAACATCCCGAGGAGTCCTGGATTTGGGAGGGCGGTTCTTGGGTGATGCAACCTGGAACTGGGCTCCCTCCTCTCTGGTTCTGGGTGCGTCACACAAGAATCGCAGCTACCAAGTCGCTGTAGCTTGGCAGCTCTAGTGTTGAGCACCTACCCCCGGTAATTAAGCAACATAGCTACAGGTTGGATGGTCAAAAGGTTGCTTAGGTGTGTGTGTGTGTGTGTGTGTATTATTTTGAAAACATTTATAAATTTATATATATAATATATATATATATATATATATATATATATATATATATATATATGAAATGGCAACTTATATTTTCTTTTTCAAGGCCCTTCTCTCACACTAAGCTGGGCTCCTAAGGGCAATGTGTATCCTGACACCTCAATTTTCCTACTCACTAAGTGGTCTCCAGGAGAGGTTAATGTCATACCTGCTCTGTCTTCATATGGAACTCTTTAAGCTCATCCTCTGTGAGGGGAAGGAAATTCTCATCATTTTCAGGATACTCCTGCCATCCCATTGCTTTCAATAACCTGGAGGAAGGAGGTCAGGCAAAGAAAACATGCCATTAAGCATAAGTGGAAGCCCACAACTTCCCACAGAAAACTTTCCTGCCCAGGGGCAATGGTACCCACTTTGATGTTAGAGAAGAAACTTAAGGTTCTTTTATCCCCAGTGAAATAAACTTTATTGTTAGTTAGGTGCTTGTAATTAAATGGGGGATCTCCACAGTTGCTCTTTCCAGATCATAGTAACTACAGAGAAGAGATTATTAAAAGCAGAAAATATGACAGCATAATGTAAAGAGCCAAATTACAAGGGCCCTCGTTATCCCATAGAAAAAACAGGAAAAATCCTCACTTTTGTCTCGTGAGCAAATTAGCACATTTCCATATGTAAAAAAAATTTTTTTTTAATTGCAATAAAGATCTTGTTTAATTTCATGACATTAATGATCTCCTTCTTAACATTATTACCCCAAAAGTTCCTCAGCACAGGAGCCTGGTTTCAGGAAGGTGCTATAATACTTGGTAGGCCCCATATGCTATTCAGCTGCCCACACAGTTGGCTGCTCTGTGCTGAAGGCTCTCATTTAAAGAACAAGCTCCAGACATTGGGGCCTCATGCCTCCCAAGGCCCCTTCAAAGAGTCTTACAGTAACTGCTCAGTTGGGCCAGGAGGGTCCAAGGAGAGAGCACAACAGTCCCAGGAAACAGGTTCCCCTCTCCTCTTTTCAACTGGAGCCAATAACAGCCTGACACTTAACTACACAAAAGCCTTAGGAGTTTGAAAAAGTCGTTGAGTCTGTAAAGGAACATCCATTGAGAAACAGGGCAATCTGGGCATACAGAGAACAAGATAGGGTACTCATGGGACTTCCATTTGTGTGCTTGACTCAATCTGAGATGTCTTACATATGGTCCAGCTCCTTGCAGGCCACACACCGCATTCCCTGTGATCTGATCCTCACTTACCTGTGCTCTGCTTCCAGTGAGTGCGAGAGGACCTCCCTTTCCTCCTCTACAGGGAGAGGGAGACCATTCTGATGACAGCCTTCCTCTCCATTTTCCTTTGGTTCAGGTGTGCTGCTGTCCTCCACCTGCAATAAGGAAAAGAACAACACACTCCGTGTAATAACCCTTTCAGACAAGAAAAGCAGTCTACAAGAAGGAGTCAGAACCAGGAGTCAGATTCCTGGTCAGGCACATGTCTGGGTTGCAGGCTCAGGAGCATGCAGGAGGCAGATAATCGATGATTCTCTATCATTTTAGATATTTCTATCTCTCCCTTCAATAAAATATATTTTTTTAAAAATGACTTGCCCTACATGGTTTGGCTCAGTGGATAGAACAGTCTGTCTATGGACTGAAGCGTCCTGGGTTCGATTCGAGTCAAGGGCACATACCCAGGTTGTGGGCTTGATCCCCAGCAGGGGGTGTGCAGGAGGCAGCTGATCAATGATTCTCTCTCATCACTGATGTTTCTATCTCTCTCCCTCCTCCCTTTCTCTCTGAAGTCAATAAAAATATATTTTTAAAAAAATGAGGACTTGCTCTAACTGGTTTGGCTCAGTGGAAAGAGAATCGGCCTGCGGACTGAAGGGTCCCAGGTTCGATTCCAGTCAAGGGCATGTACCTTGGTCGCGGGCACATCCCCAGTAGGGGGTGTGCAGGAGGCAACTGTTCAATGTTTCTAACTCTCTCTCTCCTTTCCTCTCTGTGAAAAATCAATATATATATATATATATATATATATATATATATATATATAAAAATATAAATAAAAAAATGAGGACTTGCTAAGATTTCCAAAGGATACCAACTGGTGACCATCTACAGGTTATATCAACTAAGAAGAGGCTACTAGATACTATTGTTCTTATTTTGCAATAGAATATAGCCCTGACAAAAGCTTCTATTATTTACCAACTTCTTACAGAACTGACCAGTTCAAGACTTAAGCAGTGCTACTCAGTTGAAGAATACTGAATCCCAAGGCAACTATTATTATTATATTATTATTATCATTATATATTTTATTGATTTTTTACAGAGAGGAAGGGAGAGGGATAGAGAGTCAGAAACATCCATGAGAGAGAAACATCGATCAACTGCCTCCTGCACACCTCCCACTGGGGATGTGTCCACAATCCAGGTACATGCCCCTGGCCGGAATCGAAGCCGGGACCCTTCAGTCTACAGGCTGATGCTCTAGCCACTGAGCTAAACTGGTTTTAGTAAGGCAACTATTATTAAAATAAGGCCTAATTAGCCCTAGCTGGTTTGGCTCAGTGGATAAAGCATCAGCCAGGGTCTCAGGTTTGATTTTGGTCAAGGGAACATGCCTGGGTTGAGAGCTTGATGCCCATTGGGGGATGTGCAGGCAGCAGCTGATCAATGATTTTCTCATCATTGATGTTTCTCTATCCCTCTCTTTTCCTCTCTAAAATCAATAAAGATACACACACACACACACACACACACACACACACACACACGTAGTGTGTATGTATATGTAAATTAATTAATTTATTAATATATTTTTTATTGATTTTTCACAGAGAGGAAGAGAGAGGAATAGAGAGTTAGAAACATCGATGAGAGAGTCATCGATCAGCTGCCTCTTGCACACCCCCCCTACTGGGGATGTGCCCGCAACCAAGATGTGCCCTTGCCCAGAATCGAACCCGGGACCTTTCAGTCCGCAGGCTGACGTTCTATCCACTGAGCCAAACGGGTCCCGTGTATATGTAAATTAAAAAAAAAATAAAATAAAAATAAGTCCTAATTTGAAATCTGTTGAACAAAGTATTGAACTCATTTTACCTTAGGCTGTTACTCCTATCGAAACTTTTGTATACATTTAAACCCTTGCTATATCTTTCTCCTAAGAAGAAAAAAAGCACACATACAACATAAGAAAATACCTATGCTGCCCAGAAAAAATCTTATGCTCTTACATCCTCCAGCTTGTCACAGTCTCTGTTCTCTGAGAAGTCTCCATTCCGATCATCCTTCAGAGTCTTCAGAAACTCGCTTTTCCTGTCGGTGGTTCGGCGGGTCAACTTGGTCAGACGAGAGGAGCTGATCTCAATGGGAGGAGTGGTGCTGGAGGGACTCTGCACAAAAACCACAAACAGATTGCAACCAGCAACTACTGGGGTTCTTCAGGTCACTTCTACATGGATTGATTTCCGGAATCTGGTAGCCTACCATTCTGTCTTTTACACCCTAAAACAGACAGACAAGCTAACTAACAAGCTAAATATCCTTTTCATTTAAACATACTTCAGCTTTGCTGGTTTCTTACAGTTAAGACGGGATGGCTTGCCCCGCCGGTGTGGCTCAGTGTGGACCTATGAACTAAGAGGTCATGGTTCAATTCCTGGTCAGGGCACATGCCTGGTTTGCTGGCTCGACCTCTAGCAGGGGGCAGCCCATCACTAATTCTCATCATTGATGTTTCTCTCTCTTTCCCTTCCTCTAAAATCAATCCATGTGCATGTTGTCAGTTTTATTTATTTATTATTTATATTTTATTGATTTTGTACAGAGAGGAAGGGAGAGAGATAGTGAGTTAGAAACATCGATGAGAGAGAGTCATCGACCAGCCGCCTCTTGCACACCCCCCACTGGGGATATGCCCGCAACCAAGGCACATTCCCCTGACCGGAATCGAACCCGGGTCCTCCAGTCCCCCAGCCGACGCTCTATCCAATGAGCCAAACCGGTTTCGGCATGATGTCAGTTTTAAAACAGGCTGATCCTGGTCTACCATAAAGCATCTACCCCACTCAGCTACTGCCCATTTTTGCATGCTACCAGGAATCACCAGTAAACAAATGACTTTGAGCTAAGCAGAGATATAAAGGAAATCAAGTTAGAGCTGTACATCAGTAAACGGGAAATGGCAACTTTAGCAAAGGCCTCTGTTTTATCATCACTCACCTCTTTGGGAGAGCTTAAAACTGCACCACCAGCCAGTACTACTGGTTTGGTAACAGAGATTGGACTGGTAAAAGCAGACTCCCGGCTGGAGGAAAGGGATCCTGATTTGTGTTCCATTCTGTTAGCTTTCCATGCACTGGGCTACATGGGAAGAAAAAACAAATCAGAATAAGCAAGTAGACAGAAAGATTCTCAGCCTGTAAGATCAAGGCAAAGAGTAAAATGTTACACGGGAACATTATTTTCCAGAGCAAATCTGCTTCATCATGGTTGGTGGAATGCAACCTCTTGGGCACTTGAAATGAAAAGGCAAATGGGTACCAAACAAATCCACAGATATTAATAGGTATTTTTAAAAAATCCAACAACAACAACAACAACAAAATCTCTAGTTCAATAAACCTGGCACATGCTGGAGTGAATAAAATTCAACAGGTTTCTTTACTGTGCTATTTCTCAAAACATTTAACTGTACATGTGCATTTGAGAAGCAGATATAATAATACAGCATTTTCCAAAATTATGTGACAAACAAAATGTCGTCTTTTATGGTGTGTTATTAACCTCAATGTAACCCTGATATCCTAAAAAAACAAACAAACAAACAAACAAACAAACAAACAAACAAACAAAAACAAGACACTACAGAAAAATGCTGTTTCCCAGAAACTTCAATGGCTAGTTCCAGTCCAGGGTGGGCAATGTAAATGGCTGGACATTCCTGCTTAGTCCAGAGGCCCTTCTTTTCCCAGCCTACTGGGGTCTGGGCATATTCTGTCAGGCATAATTATGATATTCACTTTTTATAGAGAATGACACCAAGGTTAAGAAAGTTATACATTTGTTCAAGGTTACTCAGGTAGTATGTAGTAACTTTTTTCACAATGACTCTAAAAGAACATGCAAGCAGTTAAGAGACAGATAAAAGATTGTTTTTTTTTTTTCTTGCAAAGATGGCTGCTTATGTCAGGCTAAATATACACAGGACATAGAAACCCAGAAGGTTTCTGTCATAGTATTACAGAAGGTTTAACAGGCAGTGTTATATGCAAAAGGATATGTACATCTCTGCCCAAATGAAGATACTTATCTTCATTTTCCATTACTCAAACACTGTGCTGGTCATCAGAGAAAACCATTATGACCTGCACATTTATCTTAGAGTAATTATATATGGAAATACTCTAAAGTGAACCAAGTACCGACCACTGTTTTCTTTTTAAAAAATGTGCTCTTTTCCTCCAAAGTACAAACCAAGCCCAATTCTCCACTCCAAATGATTCTGTGCCTTCTATTGGACTGAAAAACAGAAATCACTGAATACAAACTTTTCCCTAATTACTTCCTTTGCACCTCAAGTTCCTAAGATAGCTTCATCCTTTCTACCATTCTGTATCTGTTTGTTCTTTTTCCTTTGAGAATTTGTAAATTATTTTCCCCTTGTATCTTCAATCTCCTTCTCTTTAATAATTTGTTGGAACATCTAGAGAAAAATGAATAAATAAATCTCCATCTGCCTACTAGTCATTTCACCTCTTCCTTCCTCTAACATCTTATATTCAAGGTACCAAGTACCATTCTTTCTTGAAACTGATCTTTCTCTTATCTAACGCCAGTGAAATGGTTCCATAGTTATTCTGGTTTTCCAGGGAAGAACACTTGTGTTTTCTTCCTATTATGTGACTCCTTTCTTTGCCTTCTTTTACCATCTCTATTGAAGCTTCATTGCCTTTTACAAGGAAAGCAGCTGCAGCCTTTACACCAGTTTTCCTATTTTCAATTTAGTCCTACACAACAGGGCTAAACTGATCCTAAGATCCATGTTATTATTTTTATATCTACTTGCCACTTCTTGATCCCCTATTTTTATTAAACCATTTTAAACACAAAAATACGGACTGCTTCATGAATTTGTATATCATCCTTGTGCAGAGGTTATGCTAATTTTCTCTGTATTATTCCAATTTTGGTGTATATACTGTTGAAGCAAGCACCACCCTCTAAAGATTTTTAAGATCTTAACCAATCAAAGCATAACATGCTAATAATATGCTAAGGAGGCTGGATGGCTCACTATGACATGCACTGACCACCCAGGGGCAGACACTCCAACCAGATTAGCTTATTACTGGGGTCTGGCAGATCAGGACTGAATGAGATGGGACAGACACATTCTGGAGCCTTCCCACAGTCCCTCCCAGGCTGGCCAACCTCCCACATCCTCTCTGGTCTGATGGTGCACTGGTGGGGTCCCTCGATCTGGCCTGTGCCCTCTGCAATCTGGGACCCCTCAGGAGATGTTGGAGAGCTAGTTTCGGCCCAATCCCGCAGGCCAGGCTGAGGGACCCCACTGGTGCACAAATTCGTGAACCAGGCCTCTAGTTTAAAATAAACACTTATGAAAACTCTTCATAAACTTAAGGAATGGAACATAAAGTGCTACCATGTTGACAGTAATAACTACCATTTATTAGTACTTACTACATGCTAATTTTAAGTACTTCACAAAATTTTCTCATTATTCCTCAAGAAACCTTTAAAAGATTGGTATCATTACCTCCACTTTATATTCACATTCTTTTCATTCTACACCAGAGGAGCAAGTATCCTAAATCCTTTTTAAAAATAATTCCACTTTTAAGTTTTATTCCTATTTCTTGCTGGACCATATCCTTGTATGACCTCTTTCAAGTACATTTCCAGGTGTCTTCACAGGCTTCTTCCTAAAGATTTTCTTCATCCTCTCACTTGATCTCTCCTATACCTATATTCTATTTCTTTTTATTGTCAAGTTTCAAACATGCCACTATCTCCACTTCAACCCACATAATTCCAGAATCTCCTGAGTTGTTCTTTCAGATCTACACTACTTTCCTAAAACCTCAAGTCAAATATTACCAAAAAACTTTCAAATTGCTAAGGGTAAAAATATTTTTTTCCGTTATTTTCCTCAATGTCTCATTAACAATTGACAAGTGTTGACAACCCTGGTTGCTATCTTAAATCCACCTACCCAGACATCTTCAATAGGGTTGGCAAGCTACAACCTATGGGCTAAACAAGACCATGTATCATATGTGACCAGCAAAGCCTAAACTATATATTATATGATCCTTTACAGAAACGTTTACCAGCAGCTACTATATAGATGGTTTGGGACCACTGAAGGGATTTAGGAAGAGGACATGACATATTCAAGGATGATCATTCTGGCAGTTCTGTGAAAAATGAATAGAAAAAAGAGGAAAGAGAAGTATATACAATAATAAAGATGAGATGACAAGGGCATAGGACATTAGAAAAGTAGTAACTGATAGGAACTTTATAATTTTTTAGCATAGGGGAATGAATCAGGAGAAAGAGATAGCAGCAGTTAGATACTGAGCTAAATGATCAGATGGATATTAGTGCTGTTAATGGAAACAGCAAATCAGAAGAAGCCTGGCCTGTGTGGCTCAATGGTTGAGTGTTGACCTATGAACAGAAGGTCATAGTTTGATTCCTGGTCAGGGCACATGCCAGGTTAGTGGGCTTGAACCCTAGTGTGTGGCATTCAGGAGGCAGCCGATCATTGATTCTCTCTCATCAGTGATATTTCTATCTCTTTCTCCCTCTCCCTTCCTCTCTGAAATTAATAAAGATCTATTTTTAAAAAAAGTAATTGACTTAAAAAAAAGGGGGGGGGAGAGGGCAGGTTTATGAGATGAACCTAATGAATGAGAGGCCTACTAAAAGTCCAGACAGCAGCAGTAGAGTTTGGAGACAGAATACAATAAATAAATAAATACATACATACATATATAACAAATTCTGAATATTTGTGAATGATTCAACAGAAAAATATAAACTTACTATTCCTTCCCCCAACCCCCCCCCGATTTATCCCCAAACTTCTGCTCTGTAAAGTTCTTACATGGATTCCAAATCATACCTTGGAAGGAGGTGGTGCAGGCTTAGGAACCAGGTTCTTATAGACGCTTGGAACCATGTTGGATGATTTGTTCCCATTTGCATAGTGAGATCCTGATGAGGTGAATGCAGCAGAGAAGGCAGCAGCAGGATCTTCTTTGGAAACTTTTTTGATAACTAGCATTTTGGAGGTTTGTTTGGCACCAGGTGGGTTTTCTGTGAAATACAATAGTGGAGAAACAAAAGAAATGTTAAAATATTAGTTAACAGGAAGCAGTTTATATGAAGGCCTCACATTCAACAAAGAATTGACAATTGAGAATGAGGGACAAACATTCCTGGTGTGTATTTAACAGATAACTCTCAAAAGAGATACTACTTGGGAATTGTTATTAAAAAAAAAAAAAAAAAAAAAAAAAAAAAAAAAAAAAAAAAAAAAGACAGTAGTAAGCACATGAATCTAAAGCCATAAGTCAACCAGAAAGCCCAAGATGTTAGTAGTCTTTCAGGGACATAACATTCTAGTGTATGGTGCATCACTCAGGCACAGAGCAAACAAGAATATATCCAAGGGTGGCAGCTCCTGTCATCATGGGAATGGAGGTCAAGAAACTGGGGGAGCTGCCATATACCATTAACAAAGGGGAAATGGTACAGCAACTACCCTTAATCTTAAAACACAAGATCCAAACCCAGTATTTATATAAAGCCCAACCAATACGATGCCTGGCTACTGAACATGTCTAATATAGGGACTAGGAGAGTACAGTTTGTAAATGCCAAATATCCTAAAATGCCACATCATGTTTGGTTTGAAATACACTGATTTGTCTGTTACTTTTTTATAAGGCTACTTATTCTCATTTATATGTAGGTATTTATATATTTTCTCCTTTCCCTATATAATAAGCATCCTTGTAATTGCCAAGACAAAACAAAAACCCTAAAATACTCAGCAACTGGAACTTGGTTGAATAAAGTGGTCTATAGGATGTGGTATTATATAGCCTTTCCAATATCACTTTAGAAGACTATTCATTAATGTGGAAGAATGCATAGAATACATTGTTATATATGCCTACCAAATATTTAGGAGACATTGATAACACCTATAATTTAATTTAATTGTAATAAACAAATTAGCAATGTTAATTAAAAATTACTTCTTATACTTATAAACTTTATATATAAATTCTCCCTTCGCTTAAAATCTGTTTTCAAAAATAGAAAAAAAATCTGCTTTAAGTTCATGGCTTTAGAAGCTCTCAATAATCTTTTTCTAACTCTACTACTATTACATTTCAATGGTATTTTGGGGGGCAGAGTAGGAGTTAATAGGCGTTAGTTACTATGTGCAAATAGATGAGATGAGAAATAAGATAAAGAAACAAGAGAGATAAAGAATTTTTGTTTCTCTCCCTGATATAAATAATTTAAAGTTGTGCCTTTAAAATGGCAAAATCTACCTACCCCACACTCCAGAAGGGGTCCCAATAGGTCTGCATGGCTGATTCTGTTTGCCAGCTTCTGGATTCAAAGAAGGCTAGGAAAAAAGGGATATTAATAGTTGACATAAAAAGCTAATCATTTTGGCACCTTTTACAAAGTAGTACCACCATGGAACCTATAAAATAATATTAGCAGCATTTACTTAATGCTGTATTCAGAAATAACTAACAGATAAATGATGTTGAAATACAAAATAGATAGGTCTTATATTAATCTTAGGCTCTTTTGGGTTTCATTTCCTTTAAAAAGAGAAAAAAACAAAACACAGACTAAATGTGCAAAGTTTTATCTTTCTACAGACATGTATGCCAAATAAGGAGGCATAGAGAGCTGAATGAATAAGAATGTGAATCACTCTTCTTAGATTTAAGGAGTAATTATAGCATTTTTAAGATTGCTTTAGGACAGAAGCAAACCATGTGCCAGGGACTGCACTAGTAATAAAAAGGTAATTAACCCAATTAAAAAGAGTCCTTGTCCCCACAAGGATTAGTTTTACTATAAAGATAAACTTAAAGACAAATAAGTCCAATGGAAGGTTATAGGAGCTATGAAAATATCCATATTAAAGAAGGAGTATTAAAAATAGTCAATTTCATGTGAAAGAGAAGTGCTCTTAGAAAAGTTTTCAATGGGAGATGACCAAGAGTCCGTAAAGACGATTTCCAAAGCTGGAATATGGGCGAGTCTACAGAACAAAATGCGCAGTGAACACTAAGACAGGAAAGCATGAAAAAGAATAAAATATTCAGCAACCCGCAAATAGTTCAACATCATTAGTACTAGGGAAAAAGGGGATACTTTTGTGAGAAAAGAGATGTTTGGCAAAGTAGGTAAGAGGAGTATTTCTGGGAGACTGACTTTTATTTCTATAAATAATGATCCATCTTTCATAAATAGTTAACCATGATCCAATCATTAGTTTACACGGTTGGGTAGCAGCTTGAAGTTTGTATTTGAGGGGTTTAAACACATCAATTAGGAGACGGTTAGAAGACTAATTTCATAATCCAGAGAAGTAATAAAGGCAACAGAAGTAAAGGAAGATGAGGAAAAGGATGGAGAAGTGTTAAAGAGCAATAGTTCTTGAGAATGGCACTGGTGTGCAAGCCAAAACTTTAAAATCTGGTAATAGATTAAGAAATGTCTTTTTGGTACAATTGATCATGGAATATTAAACAAATAGAAAGATGCCCAGACTCCATTACAGAGCTACTGAATAAAAATCTCTAGGGGCAGGGCCCTAGCAAGTATATAATTTCTACCTGTCAAGATGAGAATCATTACTTTAGAATAAGCACAGATACAAATACCAATTCACTATATAAGTGAACAAATCAGTGACAAAACACGTTTGTTTTTTTATTTATGAGGTTTTAATAGGCCTAGTTTATAGATGTGTGAAAAATACCAACTCCATTTTTGTGTCTCAATTTCATTAGATTTTTTAAGTTTCATACCTTTGACCAACCTTACTGTTTATCTTTTTTTATAGTTTAAAGTATTAAAAATAGTAGTACATATGTCTTCTTTCCCCCCCATTGACTTCCTCCACTCCCTGGCACATGCCTCACCCCTCTAGTGTCTGTCCATTGGTCATCTTTATGTGCATACAAAAAGCCCTTTGATTGATCTCTTACCCTGCCTCCCCAACCCTCCCCTGCCTTCCCAGTGGTTTGACAGTATGTTTGAAGCTTTATTTCTGTATTTATTTTTGTTCATAAGTTTATGATGCTCTTTATATTCCACAAATGATTGAGAACATGTGATATTTAACCTCTGTCCTTAGCAAGCATATCAAAACCTTCCAACTGGTTATTCGTGTTCCTTAAAATGAAGCCATAAATATTTTATTAGTTAATAGCCAAAATGGCGTGACAACTGAGATAAATATCAAACTACTGATAGTAGCAATGATAAACAATACTCTATCTCAAGACCACCAGAAGGTACAGCCCCAGGAGCACTGCATTTTTGTCCCTTTGTCTTATCAATTACAAGTACCCAAGTTACACTATCAAAAAAGTATACCAGCCGTAACTGTTTGGCTCAGTGGATAGAGCTTCCGTCTGCATACTGAAGGATCCCAGGTTCAATTCCAGTCAAGGGCATGTACCTTGGTTGTAGGCACATCCACAGTGGGAAGTGTGTAGGAGGCAGCTGATCAATGTCTCTCTCATCGACGTTTCTAACTCTCTATATCTTTCCCTTCCTCTCTGTAAAAAAAAATCAATAATATATATATTTTTAAAAAGTATACCATAGAGGCCAAAACCGGTTTGGCTCAGTGGATAGAGCGTTGGCTTGCGGACTGAAGGGTCCTGGGTTTGATTCCGGTCAAGGGCATGTACCTTGGTTGTGGGCACATCCCTAGTAGGAGGTGTGCAAGAGGCAGCTGATCGATGATTCTCTCTCATCGATGTTTCTAACTCTCTATCCCTCTCTCTTTCTCTCTGTAAAAAAATCAATAAACTATATTAAAAAAAAAAAAGTATACCATAGAGGAGAATAATCTGGGGAGTTCCTAAGTCTTCAACCCAATCTTCCATTAAGTAAGTTACCTTGTATTAAATTATATGGAGTTGCCTGTTTTGTCTGTCAGTCTTAAGACACCTTTCTCATTAGGAGGCCATTACACCTTTGCCCAATCAGATACCTGAGTGTCTGCCCCCTGGTGGTCAGTGCACATCATAGCAACCGGTTGTTTTGCCATTCTGTTGATTTGCATATTAGCCTTTTATTATATAGGATTGGAACTTTGCCTGCCAAAATTTCTGTTATAATTTTTTCTCAATTCTAACTTTTAATCTATTTGTTTCTACTCAATTTGTCCATTTGTATGCGACTTTTTTTGGGAATGTGGATCAAGATAGTTTTTAAAACAAACATTTATTGAATTTTTACAGAGGAAGGGAGAGGGATAGAGTTATAAACATCAATTAGAGAGAAATATCGATCAGCTGCCTCTTGCACATCTCTTATTGGGGATGTACCTGCAACCAAGGTACATGCCCTTGACCAGAATCAAACTTGGGACCTTTCAGTCCACAGGGAGATGCTCTATCCTCTGAGCCAGTTTTCTAGCATGTTCCCTGGAAAAACACCTCAGCAGTTGCTCAGCCATTCAGTGAGCCATAGCTAAGTCTTTTTCAACAAGGTCTGGATCTCAGTCTTGGGGTGGTGATTGAGGAATGGAGAATTCTTCCTTAGGTGCTCATCTTAGCCTTAGAGTTAGTGGCTGCTCCTTTTATCTGCTATTTCAATCTTCTTTAGCATTCTCTTCTTATTAGTCAATCACTCATTACACCATCCTAATATTCATATTATTTTTTGTATAAAACTGCCATCTTCTTTCTTTTGCATACTTTAATTTCAAAATTAAACAAACAACCTCCCCTCTTCGCAAATAAACAACATCCAAACCTGATGTCAAATGTGGAAAGGGAAGGCAAGGTTTGAGACTCTTGTATTATGCTTTAGTATATGTGTATTTATTATAATTTCATTCATAATAGCCCAAAATTAGAAATAATTTAAATGTCTAGCAACATCAAAATAGAAAAGTTGTGGTGTAATCATGTAATGGATTATTTATTCAGTAATAAAAGGAATAACTGGCCGGAACCGGTTTAGCTCAGCGGTAGAGCATCGGCCTGCGGACTGAAAGGTCCCAGGTTCGATTCCGGTCAAGGGCATGTACCTGAGTTGCGGGCACATTCCCAGTAGGGGCTGTGCAGGAGGCAGCTGGTCTATGTTTCTCTCTCATCGACGTTTCTATCTCTCTATATCTCTCCCTTCCTCTCTGTAAAAAATCAATAAAATATATTAAAAAAAAAAAAAAGGAATAACTGATGTAATAACATGATGAATATCAGTGAAGCTTTACAATGAAGAATACCTACTGTATAATTACATTAATATGACATTCTAGAACGGGCAAATAACCTATAGAGGGACAAAAATCAGAAATCATTGTCAGCTCTATGTTTTCTGGGAATCATTTAACTGAGCCTTTTAAGATTCCTGAAGGTTGCGGCCAGATGGGAAAATTGTAATATTTTATTCTTTTGTAAAATAAAGACTCTTCATACTTTATGTGCACTTAGAATATTGCATAAAAACCATAAATGCAAAATAAATTTGCCCTTACTGACCTTGTTCAGGATTGATTTGACAACAAATTTCCATTTAAACCACTTAGCAGGTGAAGATAATGCTACCTTAACCTTTTTCTTTCTGTCATCAATTCATTTCCCAGTTGGAATGCCACAGAAATGATAAAGGACTTTCTTATCAAACTATGCCAATCTGTAGTTTAAACTTCCATACTACTTCATTTTTTTTTTTTTACAATCTCTCTCTTTAAAAAAATATTTTTTTATTGATTTTTTTTTTTTTTTTTAACAGAGAGGAAGGGAGAGGGATAGAGAGCTAGAAACATCGATGAGAGAGAAATATCTATCAGTTGCCTCCTGCACGCCCCCCACTGGGGATGTGCCTGCAACCAAGGTACATGCCCTTGACTGGAATCAAACCTGGGACCCCTCAGTCTGCAGGCTGATGCTCTCTCCACTGAGCCAAACCGGTTTCAGCTACAATGTCTTTTTTTTAATCAAAGCACTTAAGAAACTCAACTATTTTTAAAAAATATATATATTTTATTGATTTTTCACAGAGAGGAAGGGAGATAGAGAGCTAGAAACGTCAATGAGAGAGAAACATCGAGCAGCTGCCTCTTGCACACCCCCTACCGGGGATGTGTCCGCAACCAATGTACATGCCCCTGACAGGAATCGAACTTGGGACCCTCCAGTCCGCAGACTGACGCTCTACCACTGAGCCAAACCGGTTTTGGCAGAAACTCAACTATTGAAGAGACCTAAATACACTTGTTTTTTTTAAGCTCAGCTGGTTATGGTCATAGATAAATATTAAATATTCATGTCAGATATAGATTATAATTACAGTGGGTTCATTTAATTATAGGAATAAAAGTACAAAAAGAAACTCATTTATAATAAGGATACAATTAAATTTTTTTGGATTGTTGATTTGATGATTTCACCAAGTTTATAAAATGTGATGAACAACAGATTTTGTTTCTTCATCACTCCTAATAGTCTTTCATGAATTTGCTTAAAAGAATACTTTTGATTTAGAGCCCCAAAGGCATGTAATTCAACACACAGTAGAATCAAGTTCACAAAATAGACAATAGCTAGATTACTACTAATTGCATGTTTATATAACTTATTATAACTATTTTATATAAAAGGACACACGATAATTGGAGAAAGACAATTTAACATGTAGGACTACATTTTTACATTATTATATATATGAATACTAAACCTTATAAAACTTAAAGGAAATTAAGAATTTTTTTTTAAAGTTCCAAAGGCATAAAGATGGAAACAAAAGATGTGCTCAAAGTTACACAATATTTTTGACACTATCTTCATGCTAATCAACTCTTCTCAGAAAACAATAAAAATCTAAATTTAGGGAGAAAATTTTTGTAATTTCTGACATGTTCTCATTACTAATAGGGTCTTGTAATTAAGACATTGTTTGTTAGGTTTTAACTGCACAACTAAACCACCATAATACTTACGAAGTCTTCCTCTTCAAACTGCACCTTCTCCACCTTGTCTTCCTTCTTCTCTTCCCGAATCTCTGCGGGTGCCTTTTCCTGAAAGGCACAGCCTTTCCTCGAGTGAAAGCTGCCATTCCAGTGGCGATGGTTTCCTGCGCCAGCCCCACTGCGCTGGCTCATGCCATCATGACCCCGGGAAGAGCCATGCCAACCAGATAGGTTTCCTGTGATTCCAGCATAGGCTCCCTTAGAGACACCAGAGTCCACAGAATCATGGCGAAACAGGGAGGGCTGGTGCCAGGAATCTAGAACAGTAAGAAAAAGTAACACATTAGATTATTTGTTTCCTGGAAATTCAGAAATTTGGTCAGATGGTTCCTGATCTGGTTTATGGTATCACCAAAAGCCCTTCAGGGGGATCTTTTAAACAAAAGATTAAGCCCCAACTGGTTTGGCTCAATGAATAGAGTGTCGGCCTGCAGACTGAGGGGTCCCAGGTTCCATTCCAGTCAGGAGCATATGCTTTGGTTGCAAGCATATCCCCAGTGAGAGGTGTGCAGGAGGCAGTTGAATGATGCTTCTCTCTCATCTAGATTTCTAACTTTCTATCCTTCTTCCATCCTCTCTGTAAAGAATAAAATATATATTTTAAAAAATAAATAAAAGATTGTTTATAGAAATCACAAAATACATCTTTTACTTTTAAGTAATTTCAAAATGAGTTCCACTGAATAAATGACTCATGAGAACATAATAATGTTAGAAAGCCAACATAGTTGGAGGATCCAAGAACTATGCTTACAAAAGATCATAATTTCAAGATTATGGACATGCACCCTCATGCTGGGCTTGCCCTAAATAAGTAAGTTAAATATAAACATGGAAGTTGGCATGACTCACCTCCTGTGGTTCGTAGAGGTCCATTGTTAAAAAAGCCATCAGAGGAATTATGTCGACGACGGCTTACACCAAATCTACCATCTCCTCGGGGTAGGTGCTCCCCGTGTTTTTCAAAGGTGGTTGTAGGTGACTAACATGATAAAGAATAGGGAAACAAACAGGTAAGTAGATGTGTCTTTCTTAGATTCTGTAGCAGACTTAGAAAATGAGAAATAACTGGTAGAAACTACTGTTATGAGAATACTTATGAACCAGTGCACAGATTCATGCACACTGAAAGGAAATTAATTATAAGAAATACTTTTTTTTCATATTTTATTTTTGTCTAAAGTTTTACATATGTCTCCTTTTTCCCCGATTGACTCCTCCCTCCCTTGTCCCAGCCATTCCCACCTCGGGCAAGCCCCCATCACCCTAGTGTCTATGTCCATTGGTTAGGCTAATAAGTATGCATACAAGTCCTTTGGTCCTCTCTAATAAGAAATATTTTAATATCGCTATTTGCCCTTTCTCTATAATAGAAGTGTCAACCAAATTCATGATCAACAATGACAGATTGAAACACTTGTTTGCGACTGGTGCCAGCGAGAGCTTTACTATGTATCACACATAGCCTTTTATAGATATAGAATAAACTTGCTTAGTTAGGCCTGCTTCCTGATGTACTTTTTACATCCCAGCGAAGCATCCCCCAACTTCTCTTTCAGGTAAAGTGTTAGAAACACAGCAGTAAATATCAACACAAAGCAGATATTATTGTAGATCATGCAGGGAGAACAAAGGGTAAAGTATTTAACTGCAGCAGTGTTTATATTTTGCACAGTGAGAAATCCTGAAGTCATTTTCAAGATCCACCATTTCTTTTTTTTTTTTTAGTGGGGTCAAGTTTCTAAACTTTCTAATTCTGGCTAATGAAAAGAAAATAGGATTCCACAGAGTCTCCTATCTATCTACTCCAGGACTTCTGTGAGGATCAAATGAGATGAGGCATGGGAAAATGCTTCACAGACATTTGTTTAAGGTGTAGTATGTTTGTAGCTAGCTATAAAGCAAGTTGTGCTCCTGGACTGAGGAAACTGCAAAGAGGCTAGTCATTACTAGAGAAAGGAAGCCAGGCATTGCTATGTGATGTCATTATCCAGCACCCATAGCCACCACTTCTGGGTGGGCAGTGGACCCCATTTTACGCCATGTGGTCTCAGCAACATTGGCTGCAATTTGGTGGGCTGTTGCTCATGGGTGGTGGTGGTGGTGCGCCTGTGTCCCACTAGGGGAAAGCTGAGTGTTTCTTTGTGATCGCCATGTCCGCAGTGCCATTTCTCTGTGCGTGTCACAGCAGCTCCTGTGTTGAGCATCTGCCCTCTGGTGGTCAACGCACATTATAGTGACCCGTCGGATGGTCAGACACTTTTAGCATGCACACACCCACACATATATTTTTACATCTATTTTATTAATATTTTCACCAATAATTGGTATTGCCAGTCTTTTTCATTTTAGCCACTGTAGTGGGTTATAACAATTTTTCTCCTATTCTTTTTTATGGTTTTTAAGTTCTGCAATAAATTACCTTGGCACTTGTAAAATCAACTGGTTACATATTTAGGACTATTTTTAAATTCTCTAATATTCCTATCCTTATGCCAATACCACACAACTTTGCTTACTGTTCTTTATTAAAAATATTGAAATTTGCCTGGCTGGTATGGCTCCGTGGTTGAGCATCTACCCATGAACAGGAGGTCACTGTTCGATTCCAGGTGAGGGCACATACCTAGGTTGCAGGCTCCATTTCCAGTAGAGCGACAAGCAGGAGGCAGCCAATCAATAATACTCTCATTAATGTTTCTTTCTATCCTATCTTCCTCTCCCTTGCTCTCTGAAACCTATCTATTTATATAAATATAAAATAGAACAAAGACAATTAGTCTGTGAAAACGTATTTGAAATCCTCTTGAAAGGTTGAAAATCCAAAAACACCTCGAGTGTAAAACAGAAGCCATAGACAAGTTGGGCATGGAAAAAACCCCTGGTATTTGGATAGTTACTATAGGAATGGACCAGTACCTTAACTGCCTGTGGTGTTGAAAAATTTAGCCAAGGAGGAACAAAGTCATGCTGCGCCATTTAGGTCCAGTGTCTCTTTTCAGCAAGGTGAGGCATCCAACCTCATGGCCAGGATCTGAAAATGAGAGAACTCTAATCATTTATGATTGCAAGATCTTGATACTAACGTGTAAAGGAGTTTGTGACTACTTTAGATCCTGCTCTTTACATAAAGACCTGCCTTCTGGGTCTGTCTATATTAACGATCCGCATCCATACTTCAGAGAAGTTTTAAACAAAGAAATGGTCTCTGAATATATATCCATGAAAAACACACACATACAAAAAGTGACCTAGACCTGGAAGGTTATATGAAGCAGCTAATGAATTCCTGAGTTATAGCAGAAGAACCTTGAGAATATATCTTTCATGATACATATACAGTTAGACACAGGAGAATACTTACCCCAGAGTGTAACCTCTGTGGTCCTGTTTCTGGAACTCCTTGAGTCTGCCAGCTGGATTTCCCACGACGTTCTCGTTAGAAGGGTGCTTAATAAGGCTGACCAGCAGCACACCTTATGATGAAGCACAAAGAAGCCAGGCTCTGTGTGGATCACTCTCTCAGTCCCCTCAATTGCTCATCTTAAACTACCTATTTCCTGACAGTTTCCAAAAGGGAAAAGGGGGGAAGGGGGAGGGGAAGGGGAAGATAAAAAAAAGTATTTGTTACATTTAAAAATGGGGGGAAGGGGAAAGATCTATGTCTATGTTCACCTCATTCAACTTCCTTGAGTGATGGTTCTATGATGTTGTTTAAATAGATAATACATGGATATTTGCACAGTGAGTAAAAACACTGTTTATAATAAAGTCATAACTAGAAAGAGAGGTGGACTTGCAAGGGCAAATAATGTCATCTAAGTGACAGGTCAAAAATATAATACTAAAGAGCTATAAAAGAGCTGAGCATTCAACTCCAGTGGCAAAACATCCACATGACAAAGCCCTTAATTTACATATCTCATTATTCTTACACAGCTGCTAAAAACAGTGTGCAAATATGTATTTATATTTGTTTTATTCTTCAAAATCTAAGGATATAAGAAATCTTGTTAAAAAAAAAAATCAGACAGGAACTTGATATACTTTTCCCTCCAAATAGCAGCTTTCAAGGCAAATTTCTTGGTATAAAGCTCCCAAATGTATCTTCTATTTCTTTGGTCTTCACTATTTATAAATTCACAGCAAAATTAAAACAAGTAGAAAGATGAGGTTTAAGGAGTAGTCAAGGAGAAAGAGTTCCAAAGTGAGGTTTTCTTCTCTTCAGTTTTCTGTATTTCACTTGTTTTGCCCTTTCCTGAAGACTGAAATTGAGCTACTAGAAGGTGATGTGAAGAATCTTCTATTGCTTCAGTAGAGAAGTCACTTATTATTTTGGATCCACATCCATCATTAATCAATAATTTAAAAGGCCACAGGAATCTAACACTATAAAAAACAAACAAAAAATAAAATAACGTTATCACAAGGTGAAATCATTATTATATACTAGAGGCTTGGTGCATGAAATTTGTGCACGGGAGGTGGGGAAAAGGGGAGGGTCCCCTCAGCCCAGCTAATCTGGAACCCTTGGGGGATGTCTGACTGCCAGTTTAGGCCCGAATCTGAGGCCTAAACTGGCAGTCGGACATCCCTCTCACAATCCTGCACTGCTGGCTCACAACTGCTCACCTGCCTGCCAGTCTGATCATCAATAACCACCTCTGCCTGCCGGCCTTATCACCCCCAATTGACCCCCCCACTTCCGGCCTGGCTGCCCCCAATTGCCCCCCTTCCCCTGCTGGCCTGGTCACCTGTAACTGTCCCCCATGCACCCTGCCACCGGCCAGGTCACCCCTTCACTGCCCCCTCCCCGCCTCCAATCCCGCCCATGCAGCCTGCTGCTCCATCATTTGGTCGTTCATCAATGCTCCCACTGCCAGCCTGGTTGCCACACACAGGTAGTTCAGTTGTGACAGCCCCTGTCTTTTTTTTTTTAAAATATATTTTATTTGATTTTGTACAGAGAGGAAGGGAGAAAGACAGAGAGTTAGAAACATCGATGAGAGAGTGTCATCGACCAGCTGCCTCTTGCACACCCCCCACCAGGGATATGCCCGCAACCAAGGTACATGCCCTTGACCGTAATCGAACCCGGGTCCTCCAGTCCCCAAGCCGACGCTCTATCCATTGAGCCAAACCGGTTTCGGCCTGTTTTTTATATATATGACTAATTGCTAAAATCACAATCAAATGATCAATCAAATAAAGATCCTTAGGAGACAAAATTCTTAAGTCCAATTTAGATATTAATGTGTCACCACTTACCCCAACAACATAATAAGCTGATTATAATTCTAAGAATTTTAGAAAAGCCACCTGAAGAGTCTTGCTTTAAAAAAAAATAAAAAAAAAAATCATCACCTGAGGATATGTTTTCAATGATTTTAGAGAGAGGAAGGAGAGAAAGAAACAATGATTTTAGAGAGAGAAACATTGATAAGTTGTCTCCTGTATGTGGCCTGACCAGGAATCAAACCCACAATCTTATCCCAATCATATGAATCATCTGACAAAAGAGCCTGCTTTTTTATATAACCATCAATCCAATTAGCTATCAAAGGAATTAAGAAATGCAAATTATGCCCTGGCCACCAACAGGTGACGGGTTCAATTCCCAGTCAAGGTGCATGTGGGAGACAACCAATCAATGTTTCTCTTTTTCATTGATGCCTGCATGTCTGTCTCTACCTCCCCCTACTCTTTTCTTTAGGTCAATTAAAAAAAAAAAAGAAAAAAAGAAATGCAAATTAAAGAGTCTGTTAGATTGATACATAGAGCAGTTTGCTATAAGTGGTCAAAGAGCAATAGAACTTGCTCATTTATTACCACAGTCAGCATCTATCTAATTATTCAGAATAGTAAATACCTCCATGGGGCAATAAAGGGAAAGAAATAAAAAAGATCATGGGGGGCTTCTATAATTCACCCAGCATATATCTAGTCTTTCAGCAAAAATGAAATAGTAATAAAAACTGACTAGTTATGTTTCAATTAGTTCCAAAGAATAAAACACTCATATTCCTCTCCTTCCGGATGAAATCCTGTCCAAAATGGTTAGTTGGGGTCAAGCAAATTAAGGATATGTTGGTGGCAGAGGAGGCTACAGAAACCCAGAGCAGGGTGTGAAGGTGTGTCCATGTGGGATGGAGAATAGAGAAATGTGTGTGTGTAAAGCAGCACCCATTAGGCAATGCAAGTGTCCCAGTAGGAGGGCAGTCCAATGCACAGTGGCAGCCTGAGTTGAATGAGAAGGACATTCTGGCATAGGAATAAGGATAAGCTAGCTGAGGGCTTCCATGCAGCAAGGTGCCTTCACAGGGTGTGGTGAGAAAGGAATACTTTCAAGGGAGAATGTGATAACAAGAGATTGGTCATATTTTGGGAATTAATCAAAAAGTAAAAATATTAGACAGGAGAGGAACAAAGATGGCAGTATAGGTAAACACCCGAATTTGCTGCCTTGTACAACCACATCAAAACTACAACTAAAAGACAAAATGGACAGCATTCAGAACCATGGGAAGGCTGGCTGAGTGAGTGGAAATTATACAACTAGAAGGAAAGAGAAAGCGCACTGAGACTGGGAGGAGGTGCAGAAGTGCAGAGGTATGAAGGCACACATGCTCGCAGAAATGGGCTGGCAACTGGTATGCTGTTGTCTTTTTCAACTGGGAGAGAGATGAAAGCTCCACACTGTTCTGAATTCCAGTTCCGGGAGAGACTCTGGGGACCAGACTCATACGTGGAGAAACTGGACTGTCTGGCATCGGGCCAGAACACAAAGGAGGCTTTTTCTCAGAGGTGCTTTTAGTGCTCATTGTTCCTGCACAGTGCTATGGGATACTGAGATCTGGGGACCTCTTGGGGCAGAGCTGATGGGCAGCCATTGCTGTTTGCTCTGCCCTGGTGATTCCCTAAAACCCCTTTCCACCCAAGCTGTGTACAGAGGCATTTGCATATTAATGGCCTGGCCTTTTGCAAATCTAAAACCTAACAAACTGCAGCTGGATTAGAGAATCCCAGAGCTTCCAAAAGAAAGCCCAAGGCTGGACAGCAGCTTGCATTGTTTCACAGCTGGGCCTCATCTGGGCACCTCCAAATCCCAAACAAAGAGGAATAATTTACAGATCTGTCTGTAACTCCTACTGGGTGGCCTCAGACAGTGGCTGACTTTGCACCTCCTTGGAGATTCAAGAGCCAGTGTATACTCAGGGGTCAGAGTGAGACAATCCAGATTACAACTCTTCACATCCATAAGAGACACACTCAGGGGGCACACTCAGTGAGTGCCAAAGTCTCACTAAAGCAAGTCCTGGCACATAAGGGTGTCTCTAGCATCGAAGTTCTCCCATTGTAGATACAACTGGTCCTCACAGCCAATTGACCTGGAGGTCAATTTTCCCAGTGATACTAACAGCAATCAAGGCTTAACTATAACAAGACTGTGCAGATAGCCCACAAAAGGGTGCACCAAGAGTGTTCACATTAGGTAAGCCACTAGGCCCTATAGGACACCTAGCACACAAAGCCACTCTATCAACACAAGGAAGCAGCCAAAATACAGAGACAAAGAAACATGTCATAAATGAAAGAAATGGAGAAAAGCAAACTACTGGATATAGAGTTCAAAACCACGGTTATAAGGTTATTCAAGAATCTTCTAGAAACCTTTGAGAAATTTAGAGAGACCTTCATGGATATGAAAAAGAAACAATTAGAAATAAAGCACATATTGACTGAAATAAATAATATACAGAGATCCAACAGCAGACTAGAGGATCCCATGAATCAAGTCAAAGATTTGAAAAACAAAACAGCAAAAAGCACCAACCATAGAAGTAGAAAGAAAGAAAAATCTAAAAATATGAAGATAATACAAGGAGCTTCTAGGAAAACTTCAAGTGTACCAACATCCAAATTATGGGGGTGACAGAAGAAGAGAGAGAGCAAGATACTGAAAACCTATTTGGAGAAAT